TTTGCGTTATATTTGAGGTAAGTAAAAGAGGATAGATCGAATCGATCGACAGGTGACCTTCTAGCGTACGTGACATATATCTGGGGTGAGGCTATCGATAAGCGAGGTGAGTCTTTGGCTATCAGCCTTAACATCGCCAAGGCTTTGATAGGGTCTGGCACATAAGTCTTCTCTCCAAGCTTCCTGGATACGGTCTGCCTACTCAGTTCTGTGCCTGAGTGGCTGACTTCCTGCATGAGCGTCAACGGACGGCGACGGATGTAGTTCGCAGTTCATGTCAGTGAATGCCGGTGTTTCTCAGGACTCCGTCCTATCCCCTACACTCTTTTTGCTGCATTCAATGATTTCATTCCTCTTGAGAATATTCATTGCTATGCAGACGATAATACAGTGCATGCGGGATATTTTGGATACGCAGCCGTTGGACAGGTAGAAACCAAAGAGAAACGGGAGAATCTTGTCATTGAACTCAATAAAAAATTTGGACTGCATTTCGGAATGCGGTACCAAGAACTTGGTTGAGTTCATTGCCAATAAAACCCCAGGTCTGCGCTTTCACGGTAAAACTAACGTTTTTTCACGCCCGAGCAACTGTGCTTGTTGTACATGACGTAAGTACGGCGATGCTTTGGATAGGTTACAGCGGCGCGGGATCCGCGTTATTGTCGATAAGGAGGTGACTAAACACCTCGAGCCTCGTCAATTACGCCGTGATGTAGCGTTATTAAGCGCGTTTTATCGACTATACCTTGGCGCATGTTTTGAGGAGTTATTGTCTCTTAACCTACCTTCCCCTTTCCTACAGAAGTCTACACGCGCTGGCTTACGTTGCCACCGACTTACTGTGAACTACTATTCCCACTGTTCCAACGTGAACAAAGAAATTTGGTAACTCATTTCTTTGTCAGACTATCCGCAAATGGATTACTTTGACCTCTTACGTATGTGAAGTAGAAATTCTGCAGGCCGGCAAAATGAGGATAGCTGGTGTGGCAAGTAATACTGCTGTACCAGCTATCTTCGCGTCTAGACTCCTCCGTCATCTAACCTCTGGTGGAGTCATTTCTTGAGCCTATTTATAAAAAAAAATCTATAGCAAAGAAATTTTTTTGATTTTTGCTACAAAGGTGTCATATCTGAGGAGTACCATGGATTATGCAGAACTTTGGCTACAGAAATAAGCCAATCTGATCGTTTGCCTTCAGAAACCATTTTTGATGACTCATCATGTGCAAGCGAGTCAAGTCAAGTTTTTTATATAGAAATACTATCGGCCGCCAATGACTTCATCCGCTTTAACTTTAATATACATTTTTAAACTAGAAATTTTAGATTGAAATACTACTGCATCCGAAATATCAACGTACATCACAAACCGAAATTATTTAATATACCTATATTGACTCAAGGATCTCTAAAAACTTATGGATGTATCATATCGGCGATACTTTCATTCCCTGGACTCTTATCGGCATTACAGTTCACCGAATAAAATGAAATGAAATGGTATAAGGGACAGGAAAAAAAAATATAAAAAAGAAACAACCTAAGAACAAAAATTAATCATTACATTTAAAATGGCCAATCAGGACCCTGCCTCAGCTTATGCTGATACAATGAGAAAATATTCTCTCACTGTATCAGCGCTGGTATTCTGGCAGGGCCTTTTTGAGGACGTGTTAGGCGCTATAGTAAACAAAATAACATAAATACTTGGTATCGATTCTGGCGTGACTCTCCGAACCCAAAACCAAATTCAACACCAGTCCCTCCCCTTCATTCTGTATAGAGAATGACAGGAATGCATCGCTGTTAAACCCAAGACTAGCCCTAGAGAATCACGCCATAATCGACATCATTATAAAAGAATACTTAATAATAAAAATAAAATAAGAACAAAAAAAAAAGAGGGACATTTCGACATTTACATTTTGAAAAATTATAAAATTACATACTCGTACATGCACGCACATCCACAGATACGCATATATATTCATACACAGCACGTACACATACATACACACACAGAGATATATATATAGAACATAATATTCATAAATAAAAATAAAATAAAAATACATTTACATATAAAAAAACTAGCTCAATTGTCCCCATATCACTGAAATGGTATGCTTACTATTTGGCGGGAATCCACAATGACGTTGTTGCGCGTGCGTGTGATCCACCTAAGGCGGCCTGGCTCGAAGGGAGCACTGACAAGCGGGATACAACAAAACAATGTTAACGAACCTATTTCACAAAAACATACTGTCCATGGAAATGATAACTTTTTCCAGGACAAAAGTTGTGTGCTTGTTACATGTATAAGAAAGAAGGTAAACAAACAGTAGTGGTTTTTGTTGATAGGCTATATTATATATTACTAGCTGACCCAGCGAACTTCGTACCGCCATAAAAAAATAGGGGTTGGTGGTAGAAGGGTGAAAATTTAGGGTTGTATGTATTTTTGAATGATGTATCATAAAAAAAATAAAAAAAAATATCTAAAATTGAAAAAAAAAATTAGGGGTGGATTACCCTCAATATTTAGGGGGATGAAAAATAGATGTTGTCCGATTCTCAGACCTACCCAATATGCACACAAAATTTCATGAGAATCGGAAAAGCCGTTTCGGAGGAGTTTAACCACAAACACCGCGACACGAGAATTTATATATATTAGATTGATATAAAAGTTAATTTCAATCCAAAAAATAAAAGTAACTACAAGGGTAGTAATTTTACGAGAGGAATTGGGTTTAGAACAGTTCACCGTGATGATAAAATGCCACTTTGTATTTTTTTATTTTATGGATTTAGAGCCCATTACTCAATAATTATTTTTGCCAAGGTTGAGAAGTACCTACTTAACCAAGAAAAAATACAAAATCATAAATCAGCACATTGCACTGCCGCTCTGAGGAATACCGTGTATTTTTTTTGCTCGGGGAGTTTACCCCTACATGCTTCATTAGGATTTAATTAATATGTTTCGGGTATTTATTTATTTATTATTTCCTTTTTTCATATAATAATCTTGACAAAAAATAATATTTAAATTTTATTATATGATAATGATAATACATATTGCAAATATATGTTTTAAACGTAAATTTTGCGCTGAACACGATGAAAGAAAAAAAAATGGTAAAATTAAATTATCATATATTTTTTTTTTTTAACTATATTTTTCGTCATCTTTCTTAGTAGCCATCATTTTAAACTAAATAGTTCTCCCAGTAATGTTTATTAGTGATTAATTAAACAAAAGAATAACAGTGTTGGTCAGCGCGCGATTCAACAATGAATAAATAAAAGTGAGCAACTCACTCGCTAGTGCACGATCTGTGTACGGAAGAGACGGTTAAACATGGATAACTGGTTTTAGCTGAAGCATAAATTTTAAAGTAACGATGACTAACGCTTATAAATTACAATGGAAGAAAAGAGTAAGCACTGATAATCGATTTTAGCTGAAGTAATTTATAAAGCGTCAAATAAAAGTTATTCAGTAAAAACAAATTAAAATTCGGTATCTTCTTTTACTTGCCTCAAATATTCTATATATATTTTTTTTCAAAAAGCGACAGGTTTTTTAGTTTTTACTTCATCTAGTAAAATTAAAATATCTGGTAAAATTCAAACAGTCAAGTCAAAGCCAATTACAGGATACTCACAGGATATTTTAAGTGTCTACATGAAAAATGAGTTTAAATCCGAAACTTGGTTTCAACAATTAATACGTTTACAAATTTAAGTGTTTTGAATGGGTTTATTAGGTTTTAAATCAAGAATTTTGGAAATAATTTGCAGTTATTTTGTTTATTCATTAGCTATTTCAGGAAGTATGCGTCGTAGAGCATAATGGGTTTTACCTGTAGATGTGGCTTAATGAGACGGGTCGATTGGTATTATAAAATTTCAGTAGCGGAAAAGTGCAGATAATCAGTTTTGGCACTAAGGGGACGATTTACTAATAATAAACTTCTCGCTTTCTAAACGCGCTTTGTTCGTTATTTTGAAAATGTACATATTAATAATTATAATTAGTAATAATATTTAATAGGAGTAACAATTAATTAATTCTTCATTAATAATTCTTATTAAAAAATAATGAACAAAAATATTTACAAAGAATAAAGACATTTATTTAAATTCAAAATAGGGAACCCTTCTACTACAAAGGCGATGTTCTTGGCTGTATCATTTCGGTGGTAATTTTTTTACCATTTCGGTAGACAATTTTCATTTCAGTGGACTGCCGAAAACTCATCCTTAAATATTTCAGTAATTGGTGATTGTTGAATTTGCCCCGTAGGATCGTTTAAAAATGGAAAAAAAACCATAAACAATATTTTTTCTTTTTTTATTTTGCACCTTTAATTGCATTTTGTGTAAATACTATGGGAGATACGCGAAAATAAGTTGATACCTTTTTTGTAGGAAATTAAATTTTCTACAACTTTGTGCTACAAACTTTTTCTATTTTTCCAGCCAGTCGCGAGATATTGACGAAAAACTCGTTTTTGCACCATTTCGCATTTTTTTTTCACCCTTTGCCGTCAATGCAGCACCCTGCAATTTTAGTATATTAATCTACGAACCCTTGCGGAAATTTTCGCGTTGGTTGCAGGTGATCAACTCAAAATGGCAAAGTTAAGCCTTCATTGACTGGACTATATAACATATCGCTAATTAGGAAGACAATTTGCGTTTCCTTATTGAGTTTGTCTTAAAAATGGTTGTCTTGTCTTGATTGGGTTTGGCTACTCGGAAACGACTTTTACTAATAGGTATATACGTGTCGACAAACTTCTTAAGCAACGAAGACCATAGGAAGAACACAAGGAAGTCTGCGCAGTAACATACAAAAACGTCTACTGCGCAAGTTTAATTGTCTGTGGTTTTCTCAAAAAGTTTGCTGCGATCTATAGGTACCTTATGTAAGTTAAACATGTAGATTAACGTAAAATAAAACAAGTAAATGTAAAAGTTTTAGTAAGTATTTAACTTTATTGCATTAAAACTTAAAATACGTTACAATAAATAAATTTTCTATTTACTACTTTTTAGAATCACAGATGTTTTTTTATTAAACTGCTCAAACAAAACACGCTTGGTGAATTATAAGAATCATATTCACATGAAAAAAAGCTGGTATGCACATATCATACATATTACTTATTTGTATGGTCTAGACGTAAAATGGCGAGTGCTGACTGATGTTTATATAAATAAACATCATATTTCAATGGCTAAAATGAAGATCTTCAATTAAATTTAATGCTTTTCGTTATCTATTGCTATCGAAAAGATCCCGCGTTTGATTTCATGAAGCGTTAAATTATATTTTTAGTTCTATTGAGAACTTTTTGCTGAGGTTTTCTTAGCTAATTCCCCCTGTTTTACCCTTGTCACCGTAGCATGAGCACCACAATTTACATAAAATACGTTTTAATCGGGACTGTCAAACTCCATAGTGTCTGGACAATTGAGTGTGATAAAAACGAGCAATCCTTCCTAATATTATAAATGCGAAAATTTGTGCGTTTGTATCTCAATGACGCAATGGATTTAGATGAAATTTGGCACGCATATAGTTTATTACTTGGACTAATGCAAAGGATACTTTTTATCCCGAAAAAATGACAAGTTCCTTAGGGATTCTCAAAAAGTAAGGTAATCGCGGACGAAGTCGCGGGCGGCCGCTAGTATATCATATCTCAATGGGCTAGGGCCATACCCTTACCACATAACAATATCGAATTTAAATAGTTGAATCTCAATACGCATCAAATATGAAGAAGTTGCGTATGATATTTGCTATGCCCTTGCAGGACGTCACATATTTTTCTAGCATAATATTTAATGTACCACCTTAAATGTAATGTGACATGCAATAAATAAATAAATGGAAGATTGTTTTTGGAACAAAGTTCCTTACGGCATGCTTGGAGGAGATAGGGATTTTGCTGCGCGACCGAACTGAAAAAAATGTGATAGTAAAACCGTAAGAAAAAATCCGTGGAAAAAAATGCGTGGAATAAAACCGTTAAATGAGACGTGCGCAGGCGCGACGAAGTTCCTTACGGCAGGCTTGGAGGGGATAGGGATTTTGCTGCGCGACCGAACTGAAAAAAATGTGATAGTAAAACCGTAAGAAAAAATCCGTGGAAAAAAGTGCGTGGAATAAAACCGTTAAATGAGACGTGCGCAGGCGCGACAGTCGCATACACAAGCGAGTTTGCAATTTGTGTCGATTCTACATTAGCCGAAGGAACTTCGTTCCTACCTGGTGTCCCACGATACCACATCATTTCTTTTTTCTCAATACGTCCGTTGAGGCGCTGTTCTTCGCAAACAAAACTTCTTGACATTTGACGAGTATCAAGATCGAATTGCACTTTTCGATATTGGTTCTAATACCGGGTTCACACGAGGCGATTTAAATTAGTTTCCAACCAACTTTTATTGTTCAATTGCTTTTCTTCCAATTTGAGTGCTTCAATTTGATTGAAAGTCTGTTCCGACGTTTCAAATCGCATGCGATTTAGCAGTTGATCAACTTAAATCGCCTCGTGTTAACCCGGTATAAGGGTACTGAGGTCGAAGTGCGAATTTTGGCAGCAAAACTACGCAGCGCCCATAACGTACGTAAGAACAAACGGGCTTCTTCCATACAAAATTTGACGATGCGATTAATGAGCTGTCAAATTTACCCTGCCCTTACCGTTATCAAGAAATTTTGGAAAAACAGTACACAATTATAGTTATTAACTTAAAAGGGAAACCACTGCATTTTTGTTATAATAACTTAAACTAAAGAATGGTGTCGATAATGGCATTATTCTTTAAACCTAAAATTAAATTTGACAACAGTGTATCCTTGTCATTCTAGATTTAAGTTTGAATAATCATGCCCGAATCGATCTACTATATTAACAACATTGTAATATGTATGTATTTTTTTATTTTATTAATTATATATTAATAAACAAAGCAAATAAAGAAATGGTAGACAGAATACATCCAAACACATTCCTATAGAAATCTAGTTTTGTTATAAATATTAAGATTATGTGATGATTAGTTGATAATTACACCAAAAACACAACTAAAATGAGACCACTTCTTCTTACCAGGTTTTTAGGCAACTAATCTTTTGTGATTAATTTATGATAAAATCTGTGATTTCTATCATAATGCACTAACCACAACGTATGTTTAATACATTTGTTTCCTTTTTTTCAATTTTCTATTGTGTAACATTTTTTCCTAAAGCTCATTTATAAACTTATCTAAATAGTGGCTTCGGAATATATGCAGTTAATTTATTTGAATTGTTAAACTTTATTCATAAGGCAGAGATACACTCTAAAAATTCATATCGAGTAACATTATAACTTAATTAAATTACCCAGTTAGTCAGTATCTTTTGTTATCATTTTGAATTATCAGTAAGCGTACATTTATTACAAAAAATCAACACCATAGCGTTGATTTGTCTTTTTCAATTCCCTAATGAGTCACAAAGACAAAAAATACAAGTCAATAAACGTTTTCCATACATTGTGAATAATAAGTTTCAAGATCTTGTCACAAAGTCTTCGATTTTATCAATCGAATTTGAACCTTATACAAAGCAAAATAAAGCTAAAAGTGTTTTAAGATAAAAATAGTAGAGAAACAATTACATATCCCATATGAATATGTTTTGTAACATGGCTAAAGATTGTGACTGGGTATCGTTGGCAGCTGTCAGATCTATCGTCACGTATTTGGCCGCCTGCAAGATCTTCAGGCACGAGGAATTCTCAGGCGGCAATTTGTGACATAGTTGTGTGAATAGACTTTTGGCGCAGTCGTAGTGAAATACTAATGGGTCCAAAATGTCCGTTAAATCGGCGGCAGTCAACATACAACACATATGCGCAAGAGTCACGCATAACTGGAACAAGGAAATCCATACTTAATATTTTAAATGAGAAATTAATTTTATTAGTCTTTTTGTTACGATTTAACTCCTAAACTGATGAATCGGTTTATATGAATGTTATTAAAAAGGTTACCTAGGACCTTAGTGAAGCAAATAAGCTACTTTCTAACGCAAAAAATAATTTTAAAATGGATAATATTAAGCATGAAAATTTGTGTAAGAAAAATTTTTTTGCACGCTAATAAAGTCACATTTTAATGTTATTACAATAACAATTCTAAATGAATATAGGATAACATCATACCTACATAGCATTCTCAAAATAAGTGACTGAAAGTGGAAAAGTGCGAAGGAGAGGTTCCATAGCGCTTCTTTAGTAAGAGAGTAGGCAATGGACTCTTGTATTGCAAGCATTTATAACAACCTTTTCCCACCTCCTACCGATGCCTTATAACCCTTTTTCTTAGATTAAAACAAAAAGGGCAGATACGGTACTCCCGGCTCAAAAGTGATCCGCTTAAATTCTGGTGCACAACAATTCGCTGTAGTCACAATAGGACATTCAAACACGTTGCATTTACACTCAATATTACAATATTGCGTATATTCTGTGTTGTAAAGATAAAACAATGCCTTCCATGCTTTTATAAAGAACACAAATAGTTCAAAATCAAATGCCTCGGCAACACTTCTCATTCGTAAAACTCTAAAATTATTATTTTCTCAAAAATCAAGGTTTGTCGTGAATGTTATTTACGTAATCGCCATTTTGCTATCAAGAAAACGACAACAATACAGCTCAGCCGTTCGCACTCGGAAGCTGAGTTCTGTCTCGCTCGCTTATCGATTCAATGTTATTTACAGACGTGTGCGTGTGTGACAGTTGCTTATGTAGTTGAGTCGGATCATATTTTATTTGATGCTAGTATGAGCGTACCGTATCTTCCTTTTGTTTTAATGTAAGCCCTTTTTAGATTAAAAATGCTTACTTGTTCAATAAGGTTGTCCTTATGCTTATACTCGGTAAAATCGTCCACGTTGGCTGCGTTCTCCATGGCCGCCATGAGTCCCCTCCATACAGAAGCAAAGTGTTCGCCATAGTGCGCGCGCGCAAGTGGCGCCCTCAACGCGACCGCGGCGTTAATGCGAACCTTCAGGTTCTTGCAGTCTTGCGTTAGAGTACAGAGGCTGGGGAAGACTTGTCGCTGCACAAAAATAAATTGTACCCATTAATTTCTGCTAGTACAAACTTTCGTTTAATAGAAATACAGTAGAAAGCCGATTATCCAAATAAATTGGGACCGGGGTCGATTCGGATAATCGAAAATACGGATAATCGAACATAGACTGGTAATAAAGAAAATCAAATTTTATTAAGTTTAACAAACACAGTTTTACAATACTAGATACAATTATAGAAGTACATAATAGGAAAAGAAAAACAAAAATAAAAACATGTAGTGTCTTGCCTCTAGCTTTCAACCATAACATAACCATAGATTTGCAAGCATAATTGTTACTAACCATTATGGATGAATAATCAGAAATAAATGTTATTATTATTATAACAGTTGAAATATATCTGGATTCCAGCGAGTTTCTACTTATTAGAACAAAACAAAACAAAAATTGACTTGGTTTTAATTTTTTTTTAATTACGCTTAGGACCTATTCGGATATTTATTTATTTTTATTTATTTAATAGGTACACAAACAGAATGCAGTTATCACATGATTAAAAAACATAAATCTGGTAAAAATCTAAACTGCCATCCAAAACAGTGTACACAGCATTAATAAAATTATGGCAAAATAAAAGCAAATCAAAACTTTAAAACCAGGCTATATCGTTTAACACAGTTAATAAAACGAGGTAATAAAAATAAAATAAGAAATGGAAATTAGAGTACCAGGGCCGAACAAACTAGAGATGCTTCTTTTGAACACTGAGAAACTGGAGTGAGAAACTGAGAAAGATAATTAGGTTAATCGGCGTTCGGATAATAATCGGCGTTCTACTGTATTTTAAGTTAATACCTATTTGAATCTATACATAGTGTTATTACACTATGTATAGATATAATAGTTTTCCGCATCTATCTTTAAACCACCGAACTCTACCTAGACCACGGATTTTAATGCGATTTTCAATATAAGTTTAATATACTTAACTTAACTTATAGTCGACAACGACGCTAAGCGAGAGCAGCTCACTAGTAAAAATATATTTTATTTCGACAAATCAATAAGTGTGTGAAAAGAGCAGTAGATTTAGCATTATAATAAGGTTGTGAAACCCGCATAAAAATTCAGTAGGTTTAAGATCGTCGTACATGTTCATTTCATAATAGTGTAGTGCGTGATGCATATCTTTCGCTATATGTACAAACTGTCACAACTTTGTTAGTGACAAAAATCCGAGATGTATTAACATATCACTGAACTACTTATAAATAAAAAAAATGTTATATAAATAAAAAAAAATGTTAATAAGAAATATTTATGGTGAAATATTAGAGTTAATTGTGATGACCCAGAACTAACAGGGCTCTCGTAAAAAATTAAAATAGATTGAAATTTGTAGTAAATGGAGTAATCACTAATTGTAGTATTGATTGTAATTTTAATGGAAACGAAACCAAACGTTGAGTAAAAGAGATAGAAATAACTACAAAAAAGCGATTATTAAGTAACACAAGACTGAACCTTGACTCGATTGTATAATTTCTCAAGGCATAACCGCAATAATCTGGTTTGCCGCTACTTACCAAATCACGAGCCGAAAAATAACGTTATCAAAGAATAAACACATTTCGGTTACACAATGAAGGAAAATAAACACAAAAGTACATATTCTTACAAAAAACCATTCACTATGTATTTTGATGAAATAGTTTTGCTAATTTTGATCTTTATTCAAAAGGAAAAAGACGTCTTGGGAGGAATAACCACTTTGATTAAAAGTGAATTTTATCATATAATAGTCAGGGTTATTCCCTGTAAGTGATACACATGTTGATAACTTGTTGGAATTTCCATTACATGTTGTTTTATCTATCATCTTTAAAACAGGATAAGTGGTAACAACATTAGAATTAGCCTTTACCTCATCTTGTATAGATTATATCAATGAAGTTATTACACTCATAATTTTATGCTAAATTATGTTGACGTAGAAACTATCGGTAGGCATCGCTGGTTTATAAAAAAATCACAATAATACAATTTTCTAATCTTATAGGAAATTGTTTTCTATTCTATGCATCACAGTCACGAGTATATCATACGATGTGAAGATATTAAAGGTAGCACCACTCTGGATCTTACTGTGTCATATTTGTGCGATAGGATCCAGAGAGCTGACATCAATGGCAAAAGATCTCCCGGATCGTTAGTAAAGTTGGGTGTTCCTCAGGGCTCGATTCTGGGTCCTTTCTTGCTTTTTAGTTCATATAAATGACCTACCTTACTTTGTAAGGGATAATCACGAGTTAGAATTGTTTGCAGGTGATACTTCACTTTTTATTTAAAAATATACGAAAATAAAAATATTCTTGACGATGTGAACAATGCCATCTCTAAAGTAGTCCACTGGTTTAACGCTAGTAATTTACTTCTTAATGAAGGTAAAACTAATTGATTAAGAAAAATACTACCGAATGTAAAGCAGACCTAAACATCATTAGGCATTACACTAGATTCTAAGCTTCAGTGGGGCCTACATATTGAGAAATTGTCGAAGAGACTTAGCTCTGCAGCCTACGCTGTAATGAAGATACGCTAATTAACTGGCGTAGATACCGCTCTATTAGTATATTTTAGTTATTTTAATAGTGTGATATCGTACGGTATTTTGCTAAAGGGAAATTTTCTCATTAATAAAGCCTATTATAAAGTGTTCCTAACGTTCCGGCAGATTTTTCTATAAATACTTTACAAGGGGTCATATTTGAAAGATTCCAAAAAAAACTAATTGTAGCAATATACAAGCGCCAACCTATTTTAAATAACTAGTAAGGCCACAAGACCGAAAACCTATTTCTACTGTTAGCACCTCATACCACTAGTGTCAATAATCAACCATCAGTAAAAGGTTGGCTTATTTTCGTTTTGATTCTTAGCAACAGTTATTATTTTAATCAAAATAATAAAATTTTCTTGGAAACAAAGCTCTAAATAGCCCATCTTTTACTCGAGTTTGACTATTTAAACTAGGCAATAGTATGTTTAAATCTAAAGAAAAGTTAACTAGAAAAGAATCCACGCGGATCAGGCAGCAGACGGGACTCGAACCCGCACCCTTCGCTATCCGGGCGAATGCACCAATATGCTACCGCGGCCCTGACGGCCGTGTCGAACTTTCTCTAGCCTTAGACTACCTAATAAACTTTCCTCTACATTTAAACATCTAGCAGTTAAATGCTTAAAAAACATAACAATAGTATGTTGGTCTACTTACTTGCCATCCAGTAAAACAAGTGAATAGGTGTCCATTCTTCATCGCATTGCCCATTGCGTAGCAAGCGTTCCACCGCACTTTCATATTGGTCACTTTGCATGCGCAGTCCAATAGCTTCCCTATAGCAGTCTCGCATAGAGTCTTCATTTGCTGATTAAACTGAATGTGTTCGTTTTTGATTAGACGAAGAAAATTGCCGATACTTCGCATCGCACTCATTTTGACCTGTCAAATAAATTATGTTTTAAAGCCCGTACTCGGAGACATCAGTAAGCTAGTGCTGTTATTTTCTTGTGATAACACGTGACCTCCGTCGTATTTATAAACAAGTAAAAGACATAAATTCTGCTTAAGTAATTTCAAGCAACATTTTACATTTCATACTAAAGAATTTTATCAAGTAAACACTGTTAAAAATTAAAGTTCTTATAACTCGTGCCATTAAAGAAACGATGCGGAAATGTCGACAGCATATGCGATCTAAAAATGAAAACTATGACGGTCCCCTACTTCTTTGTTATTAAAATAAAAAAAACTTACTCAATGAGCTCTAGACAATGATGTGTCACATGCTGGGGTAAATATAATCGTCTCCTTTTCATAAATCGGAGCACCCATGAAAAATAACTTTAATTGAAGTTTTAACTAAATATTCTTTTGCTTTGGGCAAGCATTCTACATAAAATGCTTCTAAAAATAAAGCTCACTATAAAACCTTATGTTTAAAGCAATATTCTAAATTATGTAATGGAAGGTGACTTCAGAATTATCTCTAAAGTTATTTTTCAAATTGACGACTTGCTGAGTTTCTTGGCGGTTCTTCTCAGTACAAGGTCTCCCGCCGTAGTTTTGCGAACCGATGGCGTAGCTTCTCAACTTTCACAAGTGCTTGTAACAGTCTAGACTGAATTAATGATTTTTGATTTTGATTTTGCTGGACCTCTCCTATGGACCGAATAGGTAGGTTATGCCATGACCATCACACGGGCCTAGTGCGGTTTGGTGGGTGGGTGATAACGACTGCAGATGCAGTTGGAACCAACGGCTTATAGGGCCTTTCAAAGTACGGAGAAGCTCGTGATAGTAAAGTTTTGGCTACCCTACCGATGACCGGCTAATGCAAAAGTATCTTAACTTACACGCAGACCGAACGTGCTAACTTCTTGCGCCTTCGATCTCCTCAATTTAACTTTTATACTCAACGATAATAAATACCCTAAATACAACAACACGAACAAAATCGTGGCCTAAACGTGTCCAAAAGGTTCATTGGACGATCCACGGAACTCCGTAAGATGATCGCGTAGTCAAAAACAATATGAGGTATTATTAAAACTATAAAGTCACCTTTAATGCATACTGTATAGGTCTTAATTAAAACGCATGCGTCAAAGAGTTATGAATAGATAGATATAAAAATAGATGACATGTAAGTTCGAAAAATTTTACGACTTATTGTGCTATATGCGGGAAAAAAATAGACCTTATTTATTTTCTATGCGCAATTCTAAATGCGCTGTTAGCAAAATAGCAGGTATGGACGGCGAAGAAAAGAGGCGGCTATATTATCGACAATGCATTTGAATATCATAAATATTTTATATTAAATCAGTTTATAGTAAGTATTAGAACAAAATGTTCTCCAACTGCGTTAAATTAACAAACATTGATTAGATACCTGTCGAAAAACGACATTTTTCGTACTATTAGTATTTTTTCGCATCTCTGCGGTATCTTGACTTTTCAACGGTCCACGCGTGACTGTGAACCAAGAAGTGCTTGAGTGGAGTTCCAGCACTTCTTCATTGGGACACATTTTGAGCGCTCGTGGTGTATCTAGATTATATCGTTGTTAATACTGCGTATTTACACGTACATAGACATTTTCACCCCTATATATCGGTATTTATAACCTGTAGATAATATTACCTTATCGTTGTCCCCGGCACACTGTACGCTGACCTCCATAAGTCGAAGTAACAGGTCATCGTCTACACACTCCAGATCCGGTTCCTCCCTGTTATAACGGGTTTTTGTTCAAAACTATATACCAAATACGAGCCGCAATATGCGCTTATCTCGCGATATTGTGTAACAAATTAATACTGAAATTAACTGTTTTACTATGTTGCGCCAATTTATGCAAGTCATAAAATGATGATGATGATTGATACATTTTCTGGGCCGAGTCAAAATTCCATCTGATCCAATTAGCAAAACATAAGCTACACACTTAATTGTTAATTTGATTTTGTGTTATTTTTATTGATGAGTTTATGCTATAGCCAACACTCATTCTATTGAAAAAATAATGAATACTCAGGTAACAATTTCGAATGAAGTTAAATGTTTCACTATGGTCTGCCTTGTGCAACAAGTAATATTTATGATACACCATTGTAACGCTGTCTGGGACAAGCCAAAATGTTGTCTGATCCAATTATCAAAACATAAGTTACATTTAATGCATTTGATGGTGTCTTATATTTATTAACTTATTTAATGTCTATAAATAATTATTTATCTGTCATAAAAATAATACAGACTAAGTTAAACATACGAGCTAGTTTCTTAGGAAACTGTTGAACATCATATAAATTATATTTTAACTAAAGGTTTCTTAGAGATTCCATGCACAAAGTGTAGTAGTGATTGATATTTCGACCTCCGTGGCCGACTGGTATGTATGCCGGGTTTCATGGTATCGCCAACTCCCGACTAGAATCCCGGTGGGGGCAGATGTTTGTGTGATGAATATGAGCATTTGTACTCCAGTCATGGATGTTTAATATGTATCTTTTATATAAATATACTTATATATGTATCAGTATATATATTCTATCCGTTACCCTAGTATCCCATAACACAAGCCTAAAGTGCTTTATTTATTTATTCATATTCGTGAACTCACATGTTTAGAACCAGCGCGTCGCTTAAGTTTCCCAGCGCCCACGCAGCTTTCGTCCGCACCATTAAAGTAGGTTCCGCCAATACTCTCAGCACATTTTCACCACAATCGCTTACGAAACATATATCCTGTAACAAAAAAACATTGCTAATAAGAAAACCAGCATAAATTCACAATGGTTGGAATGACAAGTAAACTTTTGCCGCCTTATTTCAAACGTGGACTAAAGTTAGCCTTGGTTTAAAAACCTAATGCTGTCTCTGTCTTTTATTTGGCAAATGAAGGTGTCAGCATCGCTTTTAGACCTAGTTTAACTTTAGCTAATCTTTTTTAATGGGGCGGTATGTCATCCTTTACTTTAATACCTAAGAAATTAATACCATGAAACAAACTCATGCTCGCAAATGTTATAATAAATTATAAACATTAATAAGCATAATAAATTCAATAGGCGCTTTAATTAATATTAGGGGAATAAAGACAATTTATTTCAATTCAAGATTAAGAACAATATATGAAGCAACATGTATCTAAAAACATAGTCTTCATCAAAGCGAAGTGAGGACAGGTCACTAGTTTTAATATAAATCCAGTACTAATAAAGCTGTTCTTTTGAAAATAAACTCTCACCTCTCTCAACGTTCGGAACATCACAGCCATAGCTAGTGCTCGCACCGCGGCTGCGCGCACCATAGCCTCTTCATCGGAGCACGAACCAAACAGCAGAGTGCAGCAGATTATTTGCAATCGCCTCTATGGACCAAATTAACATTATTATATTTTTCCAACACTCACACCAATTAGCCTAGCCCCTAAGTAAGCACTGTAGGCTTGTGTTATGCGATAACACGGGGCGAGTTGACAAGCTACAAGCCAGGGAGTTAGCTAGTAACTTGTAAATTCGCCCCGTGTCATCGAGGCTTAATACATAAAAATCATACTCTCAAATTATTCATCCTGAAATCCATCCATCCAGATGCGAACCGTCGAGTTATGTACGAGTAAAAGAAGTATGCATTTTAAACCGGAACTTTATTGAATCGTCATCATTAGCCTAAAATATCTTACTGCTGGGGCACAGGCCTTCGTTATGGATAGAACAGGTTAACGGTTAACTTGACCCACTACGCGGAGCTAACAAAACAGTTTCAATACAGCTAAGTTTTTTTTTATATGCAGAATGCAGGACTTTCAATGATTTAATTAATAATTAGATTACAAAAAGTCCCCCGAACAACCGCGAGCACCGGGAGACCGGACAGTACAAAAGTACGGGGGAGTCCCCGAAAAAAAATAGAACTCATTTGACTAAGCGCAGCAACGCACAGAGCAAACTTTAGTCGAGTTGTCGCTCGATCGATTTATAGGGATGGACCCAGTATTCTCTTTAAAAAGGTATTATTATTTTGTTAAAATTTTAATTATAACATAACGTAATCTCAGTTTCTCATATTTCAGGACAACAAATGTCCGCACACTGTGTGTATTGAGGCCGTGTCTAGTCCTCGGCGGTAATTTTTTCACGATTCAGGGACTATTGCCCTCCGCGAAAAAAAGTCCTGTCTGTGCAGGCTTTTACGGAAACTTTCTATTTGAGATCAACTTTATGCCACGGGGAGGCGATAACAGATGGAGGAAATATTTAAATTTTAACCTTATCATATTGAAATGTTTGTAATATAATAAACTTATGGTGGATCAGGAATTAAATTGGTTACTTATTAAACTCACCGGCAGTTCCTTGAACGACTTCTCCCCTATATTGGCGATGCAGTCGCAGGCAGCCGCCTTCGCTGAAGAGTTGCCATAACTCTGCAGTACTTTAGAGAGAGGCGGCAGAAGCCCCTCCCACATGTGTACGCATTGAGGCAACGGCGGGGGTTGATCGGTTTGTTCTAGAGTATAAAGATTAGAAGTAAATACAATCAAAATATATATTTCTCACAGTCATACCAATCAGACTAGTCCCAAAAGCAAGGCGTAAATAATGCAAGGCTTGTATTATGATATACTAGGGTAAGGGAAAAAATACATATCATCATCATCATCAGCCTATTAATGTCCCCACTACTGGGGCACAGGCCTTCTCTATGGATGGAATAGGGAGATTGGGCCGTGCCCCACGGGTCGAGTGCGGATCGATGGGTGCTAACGTCTGTGGAAGATGCAGCCGGGACCAACAGCTTAACACGCCATCAGAAGTACATACCACTCGACCACGGAGTTTAATAAATGAATAAATAAATATTTCCAACACTCACACCAATTAGCCTAGCCCTAAAGTATGCACTGGTGCCAATTCTGGCGTGTTTCTCTAAACTTAAAACTAAATTTAACATCAGTCTCCTTTTCATTCTGTATAGAGAATGACAAGGATATACTGCTATCAAATTTAAGTTTAGGTTTAGAGAATCATGCTAGAATCGACACCACTGTAAGGCTTATGTTATGGGATACTAGGGTAACGGTTAGAATACACAGTACATTTATATAGAAATACATATCAAACATCCATGACTGGAGTACATATGCTCGTATTCATCACAGAAACATCTGCCCCCACCGGGATTCGAACTCGTCCCGGGTTCTCTCGAGTTAGTGACACCATGAAACCCATGAAAAAAATGTACAAACCACTCGACCACGGAGGTCGTCAAGACCAAGTGCGATTCATAGATTATTTAGAGTTGCCGTAAATTTATATGGCTTTAAAGAGAAGCAGCAAAAGCCCCTCCCAAATGTGCGCGTATCGAGGCGAGGCAAAGGCGGGGGTTGATCGGTTGGTTTAGCTAGAGTACAAAGACCATGTGAGAAAAGATAGTGCGTCTCATAGATTTTTGAGTTCACGTAACTTTGCAGAACTTTAGAGAGAGGCGGCAGAAGCCCATTCCACATGTTTACACATTGAGGTAACAGCGGGGGTTGATCAGTTTGTTCTAGACAATAAAGACGACTTGAGAAAACTAAGTAAGTGCGTTTCATAGCTTTTTTTAAGTAACTCTGCAAGAATTCAGAGTTATGTCATGATACAAATAAAAGATACTGTCAATCTTGTCTTGTCAATCTTTCAAATGAATATTATTGTAAAAATTAATGAAATCTCTTATATCATCGTACATCCTCAAAAGTAGCTCTCTCTCTCTCTAGCAAAAAAACTATGAATGTAGAAAATTTGTATTTTTATATATATAGCGAGGTAGGTATAACGAAGGTTAGTTTTGGAACGTATTGCACGCGATAAGCTGATTACCAATTTTTTATCCTAACAGTTAACTTTGAAGTTATAATTGATAGTAAGATTTTGACGCTTTCTGGTAAAATGCTGTATCCATACACATATTCCAAAAATATAGCAAATTTTACATTAAAAGACTTACCTAACTTCTGAAGCGCGTCACCGATAATGCTTACAGTCTTAGCAGCTTGCAGGACCACGTCTTGATGCTCATGCTCTAATAATTCTTTCAATATTTCGGTTAACAATACCAAATGGCTAACAAGGAGCTCTGAAAAGTGGTGGAACGCAATCGCCGAGAGCACTTGAAGCGACTCGAGAATCACGGGAATAGCAGACGACTTGCATCTCTGGAATAAAGAACGTAACATATATGTGAATACTTTTTTCGAACCGAAAGTTTTCAGAAGAATTCCTTAATGAACTGCATTTAAAAATTGTCTCTAAGAATAACATTTCTTTAGGAATATTCTTCAAAAGAGTTGCAGAACAGTTGAAAAGTATATGTTCTCCACAGATACTTTGTACTGCAGATAAGTGTTATTTTTAGCTACACTCTTCTGTAACCTTTCTGTAAGGGTAAAATCTGATAAAATAAAATAAAAATTGCCTGACATAAAAAAAATAAAGAAAGTAAAATGTAACATGCATCTTTTCTTGAAATCTTGGCTTCAGCGAAAATAAAAAAGGTACACGTGATATCTTATTACATTCCCCCTTCTTATGATATTTTGTGTTTTTTACGAAACCCCGCCCTCCTTTCGAGCCTCACGTGATTAATGGACGATCCCTAAGATAGAGTATTCTTTTTCAGACGTTTAGCATAGCATATAGTTACCTATAGCATGTAATGAAGTCAGGGAAAGAAATATTCTAACTATTGATCTTAGAGATCATTACCGATCTACACATAGGGATGCAACATCGTTCTGAAAAACATCGATATTTTAAAACATCGATGTTTGCATGAAAAATATCGTTGCTAAAAGCGATATATCGATGTTTTTGCCGATGTTTTATATTTATATTTTTTTTTTCTATTTTTTTCCATCGTTCTGTTCTACAACTTTTGTCTGGAGTTGTGATTAACTTCTTCCTTCTAATTATCAGGGTGGAAATCCATTGACTCCTCCACCACGTGTCTGTTTGCAAGGCTGTTCTGTCCATCGATGAGGCTAAGGGGCGCCCTCCGCCGAAGCCTCTTGAAACAGTCGTCAATGCTAATAAGGCATGATGCCATATCATTAGGGTGTGATTTGAGGCGTGAACTATTACGTTTGACCACTTCTTCTATTTCTTGTTTAACATTTCGTACTCCTGAGTCTTTGTGTAATTGATTATTTGTTATGTACCACGGAGCATCAGCAATCATACGCAACGTTTTAGATTGAAACCGTTGTATTATTTGTATGTTTGAAGCAGAGGCAGTACCCCACAGCTGCAGTCCGTATGGCCACATGGGCTTCAGTACGCACTTGTATATTAGTAATTTGTTCTCTAAAGAAAGATCAGATTTGCGGTTCATTAGCCAAAATAGATTTCTTTCCTGGAGTTTTTAATAGGATGCTTCATTGAAACAATTAACAATACCGCTCTTTTCGGTATAAGTATGCTCGATGCTTAAACATTAATAAAAATAAGAATTACATGATGGTAAATAAATTAAAACAAAATGATTCTCATCATTCAATTAGGCAAATAAACAAATTAATATGAACTGTAAGTTCACAAGCTGCTTTAATCAATAAGCTATTCGTTTTATCAATTTCATTTAACCTTAAAATTATACGCTCACTTTTCAAAACCCTAAAGAAAAAACGAACCATCAAAACCTAACTACTTTATAAATTAATTCAATGAGTACACTGATCACCCAATCAAGAAATCTAAAATGTGTATAGGTAAGGAGTCAAAAAATCAAATTATATTTACTCAAATTCATCTACGCTTTACGTGTCAGCACAACAATGCAATGCGAGCGAACGTCACAGTGATTCCGAAAATCCCAACAGTCAAGAAATATGTCGATGTTTGAAATAGTGAACAATGTATCGACGATATATCGCTCATCAAAACATCGATGTTTATAACCGATACCTCGATGTTTTATAAACATCGATGTATCGTTTGCATCCCTATCTACCACCAAAAACTTATCACTAAGAAAAGAAGTTGTCTCTATCGATTTCCATACATGCACATACCGATACTTCCTTTCCTCTAAATATCCACCCCATATTCTTAAAGCATATATTCAATATCCATGATTTTAAATCGGACTTTTCAATGTTTTCAACTTTAGCCTCATTCTCCACGAACATTTCATCATCAGAATATCCTTCTTCGAAATCATCACATTCATCATCAGCTGCCTTAGAGCTTTTAGCTGGGCTGGGTGCTTTTGGAGTGATTAAATCTCTATCTATGGCTTTCAATACTTCGTCAACTTTGGGGTCTATTGATAAAACACACCCCATTGTTATTAAACTCCCAACTTGCAGAGTGACATCTGAAATTAGATAATTTGTTTGTTTTAATTTATATTGTCGTGTATGTGTGTACAAATAATAAACTATCATTTTTGTTAAAAGGTAAATGATGATAAAAAGGATTGAATTATAAAATTAACAGCCGATTTTTCAATTCTCACATAAAAAGATAAAATATTCCAAAAAAAACTATTAACCCAAAAAAAAATCATCCATCACCTTTTAAAAGGAACACGAATCACCAATTAACACGACTGTTTATTGGACATGTTATACGATATCAGTCAAAAGTTTATCCAGGGATTGAAATCAGACCTTACTTAAATGACAACAAAGAAGTTTAAAGAAAATAATACAGTCGATCCAGGCATCAGACAGGATTCCAACAAGCACTTTCCACTAAATATAAAATGCTTAAAATAAGAATATAAAAAATAAATAAGTTCCCAAACCTCTATGAACCAGGAACTTCCTGGTGGACCTGATCAATTCCCTTATAAGGCCTCCTTGCATTCTATGGTACGGCGTCGCTTGAACGAGTGCCGCGCAGCATTTCAGCGCGACTATAATGACGGCGTGACTACGTTCGCTGTCCAGTACGCTGACCAGAACTTTATGCATGCACGTGATCATATAGCCGAGCGACACTGAGAACGGTATGAATGATGTCACATCCCTTTTGCTGTGGAGTAAGTAGATTTGTTTAATCTAGGTTTAGGAGATTCAAACTTAATGGTTAATCGCGGCTGTGAAGTGCAAGTAAAGAAAATGCAGGGTAGTGTAGTTGTGCACAGTGCCACTGAACTGAAACCCGCGTAAAGTTGCGCTCGCTGCTAACTTTACAACCAAACTAAACTTTGAATCGCATTCTGCTATAAATGAGAAAGTACAAAGTACCTTACATAGACGTGGTATCGCAAAACGGCTACACTGCTGAACCGATTTTTAATATTTTTCAAACATTAACTTAGTTTTATCCAGATGCATTCAATTATTGCCCTTGTCAAGTGATTTTTTTATCAGATCAATTCGCTTATGAGGCCATGTTGCATTCTATGATACGACACGACTATAATGACGGCGTGACTTCGTTCGCTGTCCAGTACGCTGACCAGGGGGTCAATCGCCTAACGGAATTACTTTGGCTATCGCTATCGCTTACGATTTTATTTAGTTATTTCTGACCGCCGAAGATTTTCTAATGCCTCACGCACTTTTTTTATTTTATATTGCTAATAGCAATATAAAATAATAAATGGGTGTGTGGTATTTGAAAACTTTCGGGGGTCATAATTAACAAAATGAAAAAGTAACTGACAGCGATAACCATAGCAATCCTGTCAGCGGATCGGCCCACACAACTTTATACATATACATGATCGTGTAACCGAGCGATCCGTCACGCCCCTTTTGCTGGGGACTAAGCCAATTTAGTTTTCTTTAAAACTTCAAGTATGTTTTGTCAATTGAAACATATCTTCATTTAAAGAAAAGTTTACTAGACAAAAATCCATGCGGGCCAGGCAGCAGACGGGACTCGAACCCGCACCCTTCGCTATCTGGGCGAATGCACTGACCATTATGCTACCGCGGCCCTGGCAGCGCCATCTCTTCGCATTGTAGGTAACCCACAATGTCAAATGAAATTCATTCATTTTCTATGTTCTGTCCATATAATCATTAAACGAATCCAACACTAAATATGAGATAATGTGCGTTTGGTCAAACGCATTATGGTTGACACACTTGTGCCACGAATATTGTTCTTATAAATAAGAATAAAGAGGCTATGTTTTGTTGTACCTACCAATGTTGCCTTAACTACATAACTCAGGTAAAAATATACCACGATAACAGAGTGTAGCATAGTTTAGGAAAATATTTAATCATTAGTCATTCACCTGCTTTCAGCTTGCGACAAGTATACTCTTGAGCCTGACAGAAAAGTCAGAATGACGCTTAATACACTGGCCCTGCTGCTTGCTATAGGATCGGTAACGGCACAATATGCTAAAGTTTTCTTAGCACCTTCATCCATGTACCAACTGTCATTGTCGGGTGAATCGGGAAAAAGAGCCCACCAGTACCCAAACATATCTTTCTTCTCAGTCATCTACAATTTTGAGTGATTTTCAGGTCTTTAAATCAGTTTGCGCAATTATGGTATAATAGCTCATTTACACTTGGTCGTTAGCCCAAATAAAATTGCCAATAGTATATGGTAATCAACTAAGTTTAAATAAACGAAGTCGAGTATGCCCGTATTCGGATAGTTTTGGTTACCCAACACCGTCTCCCAGCCTGTACTTCAGTGTAAATATTGCTTCATGCACCTGAATACGGGCTAACGAGCAAATGTAATCGCATAACTCGTATCATTAAAGAAAGGAATCGAAAATGCCGAAACAAAACATTCTGTCTCTCTCGCACGTTACTTAGGATAGCATGTGCGACGGGACAGAATGTCTTACGTCGTCATGCGATTCCTTTTTTTAACGACACGAGTTATTACTGCCAAGCCAAGACTTTTAGCTTGGCAAAGAGAGCAGCGATGAAATCCGCGCTTCCATGGGTTTCACACCTTTAGCAATCAGACACATGTCACTGCTTAGTTGCTTTAGCAACAGCAAACAAAATTTGCAATAGAGATTCTGTTATTTTAAGTAGCTATTTCTGATTTTAGGATTGTTCATATTTAACTGGAACTGAATTGGAAGAAAGGAGAGAACTAAGTAAATAGGAGAGACATGAATATTATGAATTTAATACATAAAATATCCAAATGTTGGGAAAAACTTGAGTTGAAAATACCCAAGGTTTTTTATATTTTAAAGAATGTACTTTGTGGTATCATGAAAGGGAAAAGGGCCATGATTTTTTTGACTAATTTAATTGATTAAATGGACTATGAAATCAACAATTTTTAATGAGAAATATAAACGTAATACCTACCTTAATCAAAACAAGGAACAAATTTGAGGAACTCTGTCTAACTCTTGACTTTAGTGCAATTAGTTTAGCATCTTTGTTACTTTCCAGATCTGACATATCTGAGTCACTGGTAAGGGCCCAACAGTTCTTAGCTTCCTGAGGTTCAAGGTAATTCTTGCTAGCTGGTTTGTATGTAGAATTATTCTCAAAATTACCAACATCTTTCATCAAACTTCGATCACACACTGGAATCTCTTTTTTTAAACTTTCTATGGCATTGTTTCTTTGTTTTCTTAATTTCTGTTTCTGTAATTTGTTCAAGCTTGCATAGGTAAGTAATAACAAAAATTAACTATCCTGTTATTTTGAAGCTATGATAATTAATGATATTAATTTAAATTACACCTAATTTGGCATTATAAATAGTTGGTGCTTATTTTAACAGTTACTTACCTTTCCCCCTTTAGGGTTAATTTTAACAGGATTAGCAGCAACAGTCTGTTGAGCTGGCAATATTTTTTCAGGTCTGTTCCCTTGGTTCACAAGACCATATAGTATAAAATATCGGCAGATGCCCATTATTTCTGGCAAAGGAATTAAAACTTTTGAGTCATTGAAATATAGTTGCGACAGTACTTTTAATGCTGCAATAACAACCTGAAAATTGTAACGTATTTATGTTTAGTTTAATAAAGTTATACTTGAACAATGCTGTGATATATTTTACTGTAGAAATCAATCTACTAAGTCTATTTACTAGTGCTTGTCTGTCATTATCAAAACTAACAATGTTAGGGCTGCGTTATCATTACTAAACCAATACCAGCCTTTCTCATAACACAAATTCAGAACCTCATTGACAAAATTATTTCAAAAATACATCAGTAAAGGTGTAGGCCTATGAAAATTATATTATTGTTTATTTGAATAATAACTTTTATACAATTTTAAAGCTCTTAGTCTTAGTGAATCTAATTCTAATGAACTAAGATGAAATAAGTTATGACCAGAAACAAAACAAACAAAACATTTATCAATTTAATTTCATCCAAGAATTACAATAAGATCAGGCACATGACAGTGTACATCATTCTTCTTACTTACCTTGCAATATAAAAATTCATCATCTGACTTATTGAAACCTTTCATTAAAAGTTTCACAACCATCTGTGAGATCCTTTCTTTCAAATCAGTGGAGATTCCCTCATCACTTACACCACATTCTTCAGTATTCACAGAACAAATTATTGATTTCAATGCAGTTAAATAGATCTGTAGTCGATTTTGAGGACTTAACTTGTTATTCTTATCAATATCAATCAAATTTGTTAGAACACCGTTTGGCCCAACCAGTTCTTCTGAAAACTGAAGAAATAATGTATGGTATGACATGCACATTAACTTGCACATGGATATTGAATAAGTATCTAGGTTTAAAATTAAGAAATTCATTGGTAATACAATCTAATGGATTTGAAAGAATAAAAAACAAAATTTAAATTTGTAGAAGTAGTATTTTATAGGTAATAAAGTACTATTTATAAAATCTTAAAGAATAGAGACTAGAGACAGGATCAGGAAATGTGAAATTAACAAAAATGTGTGATTTGAACATTATCTATTATTGAAAAATTAATTCAAAATATGATGAATTGGTACAATTAAGTTTTCAAAAAACATATTACCTGTGTGCCTAATTCTGCATTTAATTGTAGAAGACATTGCAGATTATGTAGTATATCAGGCATTATTATATCCGAAGACTCCTTTAGACATAGAATGTGCCAAGAAACGACTTTTCCCAGGCAATTTAAATCAAATCGCAAATTTTGTTTTGATAAAATGTTATTTATTAAATGTGTCACTTTTGCTACTAGAAACACATCTGTAGGTTTAATATTTACATATAACGCAGTAACTAATGTAGAAGCATCCTTAAAGGCAAACAATTCGATTAGTAAATAATATAAGTGAATAAAAGAGCTTCATTGATAACCTAAACTACTCACATGTTTACGCACAAATAATCCGTATTTATAAGGTTGTGCGTTGAGTTCATCTATCAACATATTAATTTTAGATTGGTTGTGTTCTTTCGCATAAAGCAAATTACAAAGTTCCCCACTCAAGAGAGAGAAACTCTGAGAACAGTTTGATTCCATTTCTCCTGTTACTTTAAAATTATATTTATTTAAATTGTTTCGACGTTTTTATGTGTTATAGAATCTTTCATAACATTCATTGAATATTTTTGGTAAGATTAAGTTCTATTTGTAAAATTTCATTTATCTTCTTTCCTATTTCATTTACTACAAATCAAAAACAGGATCTGACAGTGACAGCTCCATTTTTTTATCTTTTCTTCCCATCTTGGGAAAGGCAAAGGCAGAGCCATGCAGATGGCTGCATGTCTTCATTCAAAGGATTTTTTTTGTTTCTTTTTTCTATAAGGCCGAAGCCACTTCTTCAATCATAAGATATTTGTCCTAAATAGTATTTCTAATCCATCTTCAGTTTAAGTACCTATTGTGACAGCTCCATTGATATTGACATTGACATTTAACTTTTATTTTTTTGATTTTTCTTTTATAAAGGCAAAAGTTATTAAGTTCTTACAGTCAACATGAGACTGTAAGAACTTAGTTACTTTTGCCTTTAATCAATATTTTTCTTCTTTGTTTTTGATTACAATGCGGGTGTGCAGTACAACATTCTTATGTTTCTCAGTTTTCTGGTCAAAATGCAAAGAGTCGGCTTTCTCGATGAGCTTATATTAGAGAGTCAGCACAACAATACAGTTCTCCTTGCACTTTACTTAAAAAAAATATTTTTCAGGTTCTGCCAAAACAGTTCTACTATTAACTGACTTTTTCAGAGCCCAACCGCACTCGAAATATGTTTGTATTCGTGCTCAAGTCATGGCTGTCCATTTATCTTTATCGTCCATCCTTGCTCTCTTTTTTGGGTCTCCTACTCTCATCACTCCCTTGCACCAGGGGGTCAATAATAATAATAATAACCTTTATTTCTCACCATAATCACAATGTTCACAATGTTGGTATTAATGGCTACATAAAAACAATGATATAAAAAGCATGCATTTTTTTTACCAAAAATAAAAGGTACGTATTGATCAGATTATGGTGGGTTGACACCTGAACTAGAATGAATCCTGTGTCTCGGGTAATCAACCCTCCACCCTATTCATAAAGTTGTGTACCATTTAGTAAAAAATTTATTAATCCAGATAACTGTTCTTAAGTTAACAATTCAATGGAATAGCCAAAGGAGTTTGTTATGTGTGTTTATGTGTGTATGCGTGCGTGTGTGCATCTTATAATGTTTATCTTACTATATTGAATATCGTTTCTCTATTTTTATAATCTAGCGTTTTTAAAATTTTTTTGATGTGCAGTTTTAAGATTATTTCTATTTAGTTTGATAATGCTGTTTAAATCATTGTAATATTTATATAAAAATGGACTTATAAGTGTTCTTGTCAATCGCCTAACGGAAGTGCTATGGCTATCGCTATAGCTATAGCTTAGCAGAAGGTTTTCGAATACCTTACGCTCATTTTCTAATATATTGTTGTTACCAATAGAAAAGTAAAAAAGTGCGCGGGGTATTTGAAAACCTTCGGCGGTCAGTAATAACAAAATGAAAATGCAAGCGAAAGCGATAGCCATACCAATCCCTTTAGGCGATTGACCTCCATGTCAGTGGCGGGCGTCCTCTGCCTTTCTTACGCTCAGTAATTTTCAATGCAATCTGTATAATCATGATTTCACTCCAGTTTTTGACATGTTTTTGACCAACAGAATCGATTTTCAGTGAGTGTTGCATTAATTGGGCCAACATTAAAGGTCATCGCGCACCTGAACCACCCGGCACCCGACCAGTACGCTTCGGCGTGCGCAGTTGATATTCTGTGGATGGATTTCTAGGGGGATGCGCTCACTACACCAACTCGCAACGCTCGCAAGCTGTCCACGCCCGGGTGGCGTGTGGACACCGCGGTGACCACCCGCTGCTCGCACGCGAGAAACGTGTCGTGCCTACACGCTCTGTCTCGGGCGGGGCGGGCGTGGCCCACCGGACGTGCGCTATGACCTTTAAGCGTTGAGCAGACGACGGGGCGGGGCGGGCATTTTGTCCGCGAAGCAATAAAGACCGCGTCTGCCCGTCGATGTCTGCGGCTGCACGCGCAAAACAAAGCACACGACGGGCAGAGGCGGTCAGTTCAGGACGTTCGTTATAGTTAGGGCTGCCATCCATCCGGGTTTTCCCGGATTTGTCCTAGTTTACGGGGCGTCCGGGGTGCGGCCGGGCGGGGTTTGTTTATTTGTAGTCCGGGTTTAAAAATTTACGGCAACGCATGAGTGGCCCTTGGTGCTGCAATTGTCCATGGGCAGCAGTAACCACTTATTATAAGGTAGACCGCTAGCTCTTTAGCCTAGATCAACATAAAAAAGTTGATTTGTGACATTTTTAACTGTTTTTTATTGGTCTGTCCGGGTCCTGGGCTCCAAAATCCGGGTTATCACGCGTCTTATCCTGGTTGCCACATTTTAGAGATGGCAACCCTAGTTCTAGTGAATAGTCCATCACTAATAAGCGCGTGGCGCGGACTGAGCTGACCGCCCCGCGCCGCCGTCTGCGTTACTGCATATAAACTGGTTTGTATGATCCACGGCGGGCAGCCGCGGACATGCCGCGCCGCAACGGCCCGCCGGGCACCTGCGGCGCGGTCTTTTTGCCCTCTGTGTGCGTTTGAAGTATAGGATTCACTTTGTGCTATTATTCGCGGCTAAATTGACCGGCCCGCCCCGCCCCGTCGTCTGCAAAGCGCCTTAAACTACATCTACCTTAAATCTGCCTCGTATATAATCGTACCGTTGCACATTTTACCATGTCTCATCACAATGCCAGCCCACCTCAGCATTTTGAATTCGGTGACATGCTTTTTTCTGTTCATGACTCTTTTTTACTGTTTACGGTCCAGTATTTGGATCCATATGATAGCGATGGGCAGACTGTGATTTTATATACTTTAACCTTTGTTTTGATAGGCATACAAGAATCACAAAGTACTCCAGCGAGTGTTCTGTGTTCTCAATTTCATTAATGCAGCATTTACCCTATGGGTGACGTCTTCATCGACATTAGCATCAGGATTAAATATAGAGCACAAGTATATTGAACTTGTCAGCTTTAGGGATTGGGGTGCGTCCAATAGACAGTTTCGTTCTACATGTCTCCGGTAAAGAAGCATTTAAGGTACTTCGTTTTGCTTTTGCTAACTCGTAAGCCATGCGCCTCCAAAGCCTGCGTCCTCGTGTTCAGAAGTTCTTGTAGTAGTTGCGCATTATTGGTTGCCAGTACAATATCGTCAGCATAAAGCATGTTCCATGGTAATAGGGTTTTTTTTTCTGGTGAGGCAAAAACTATGTGTATTTAGGTTTAGGACTCATGTTGTGGTAGAGAGATTATTTCGTTCCTTAAAAAAAAGTATTTTTTTCCAAGCTATCATCAATAGACTTCGAAGTGAATGCAAATTAGGTAGAATCATTGTGACCATGGCAAGAATATTTTAAAATACGCCTCGTACTCGTTTTAATATTGGTGTCGATTCTGGCATAATTCTCTAATATTTTAACTAAATTTAGCATCAGTATCATATACTGTTGTCTAGTTTAAGTTTAGATTTAGAGATTCATGTCAGAATCGATACCATTGATTTATTAAATAATTAATTAGTGTGCGCAAAAATTTAGGAAACAAGTACAATATCCATACTCCTGCTACTTTTATAAATGCGAAATTGTGTCTATCTTTCTTCGCATTTAAACTGCTGTACCAATTTTGATGAAATTTCAAACCTCACACTTATACTAACTTTCATGTCAATGCAAGTAAAAAGAGCATACATTAATTATTCATCTGAGAAAAAAGAGATAAGTCCATGGAGATCAGATAACAGATCATTTTATCATCAAAATCGTCAAAATTAATGAAACTGACAATTTATTTAACGAGATTTTAAAATAAACTTTCAATTTTGTTTAAAATTAATGGAAATTAATGAACATATACGAAATTAATAGAAGGGATCTATGTCGACGTTGTTTAATATGAAACCTCCGGTTGGAGAAAAGCAGATAGCAAGTCATCCATGGGAAAAAATTATCAAGGATGTGCATTGCGATAAAATGAAATTTGCTCACAATTCCGTAAATAACCCTCATTACCCAATGAAAAAGAAAAAGCTTACTCCTGAAAATATCGTTAAATTCCGTGTTATTGGTGATAGAGTCACAAAAGAATTTATTTACTGCGTTAATCTAGTGAGTGGTTTGCATAAATACAGATGGAAAAAATTCGATGTCCCTGAAATAAGAGGTACACTTTAGATATTTAAACTGTTAAAAAAACTATTGTATGTTATTTGTCAAAGTGGTGATGATTTTACTAAGGAAAGTAAATTTATTTAATGTTTTTTTTTTAAACTTCTAGTGCGCTCGTGTGGAGGCTTATAGTAAAAAAAACGAGTGTGCTTATAACCACACAACTGAAGTGAAACTTCTTTAGCTCCAATGATCCGAAAATCATAAACTAAACATGCAGATTTGTTGATAGAAAACAAAACACCAATCCGCGCTGGATCTTTTATCACCCTCCAATCCACACTGGGTCCATTATGACCCACCAATTCGCACTGGGTCCATTGTCACCCACCAATCCGCGCTGGGTCCGTTATCAAGTTTAGAATCCACTAAAGAAATTGTTTTTTTTGGTAATCTGACGCTGTTTATATTATAGGTACATCAGCGACGCTTCTCTTTTCCATATCTACCGTCGGACTTTTGCACATTTCATGCTACGCCAGTAGCTACCTAGAATATTTTTTATATTATTTTATAGTATTAATGCATGTTTCTTCAAAGTCATGTTGTACTTAATACTTGACAAAAACAAGATAGGTGCCTTAATTTTTCCTAATTATAATATATTTATTGACCATTTAATTTAAATAAGAATATGTCGGTTCGCTTACCCGTTCTCAGCCACCGGGGAAGCAAGAAGAAGGTATCAGCGGACTCCTCCCCTACTCGATTCACCCAGCTTGATGAAATGAGCAGGGCTCTCCCCAGTAAAAACCAGACGATACTCCTGCACCGGTCACCCGGTACGCACTTCAAGTCGAATGCGTGAGTTAAGACCAGCCCCTCACCCACAAGGTGATTGTCCGCGAACGGACCCACCCCAATGAACAGACAACAATTGTATCCTAAGTTTATGAAAATTATCTGCTTAGGTGTGACTTCTGTGGAATGGCCCGAGATATGGCACAATTTGAAGGTCAAATATGGTGGGCTGACTCACTGCCTCCAATCACGCGTTGCTGTACTTATGAACGACACCATTCTTGGCGGCGAGAAAGAGTTGAAGGAGCTGATCGAATCGAAATACATTTACCACTTGCAGTTGAATTATTACAACGAAGCTGTCGCAAACTTTGCCACCTACATAAGATCTTCTGGCGTAAGTCTCTTTTTAAGCTTATTAATGTAATTTAATTTGTTGTGATTGGCAATTTGAATTTTATCTTCAAAGTTGATGAAGTATACGTAGGTACCTATATAGATTTATGTCGTTATAGACACATTAGAGCAACGTGCTGAATATACAGGGTTACTGTGGGACACCTCCCCCCCCCCCCCCCCTCCCCGCCAATCCACTCAGTCAGCACGACTTTCCCTGGCCCAGAGCCTTGCAATAAACTGTCACTGACTGTCAAGAAGAGGAAGAGTACGATTAGGTACTAAATTAAAGGGTAATTCCTATACCAGTGATCAATGTAAAAACAATGAAAATAAAATAAAATTAATGTCTTACCGTGATGCTTGCCTGTCTTACTGTGTTTTTATCGCGTCTAACTGTCAAACTCCATAGTAATTTGACACTTGATCGTGATAAAAACGAGTAATACATCATATCGCGGTGCTCATGCTAGGGCTGAGGCGCTACGTCATTAGGTATTTGTATAAAAATAAGTCTCATAGATGAATAAATTATTCCAGAGACCTTGCGCGTACATGCATATTTCTATAAATAAAGAACATATTGGCACTATGATTTTTATGGTAAGTAGTATATCTACTATACTCAGTTCTATATATATTTAATAAAATCTACTAACTTCCCTAAACATTATCAATAACTTATTTTAGTTGTATTCCGATTTGGTACCCTACACCTGTGATAACTTCTTGCGACTCTGCAACCAAACTAAAGGTGGCTACAGTGGTACTCCGATCCATAGGATTGTGGCAGATGGATGGATTCAATGCGGTGGATTTGGCCTAAAGAGTGTCGATTTGGAATGTGAAAATTTCATAGTCCCTCATGATAGACGAGGCGTGCTGTGTATGGCGAATGATGGCAGGTCCTACTTATTATCATCCTTTTCCTTAAAATATCATACTCAAAATCAGCACAGACGGAGCATTTTTTACCTAGCAGGACTTACAAAAAATTCTATTCTTCTTTACAAATTGCATTTTTTTCGGTTCAATTGTTTCTTTTGGCCCTATCTTTTTTGTCCTCAATTTTGGTGTTCCAGGACAAAAAAGATCGGGGACCCCTGGGTAAGATAAATATAGAATTTTGTTTTTGTTTAGCACCTACTTAATCGTCCACTGACTCATATCAAATTTTTGAATTGTGTCCACAGATCCAAAAAGAAAATTATACCACTTACACCAATCAGCCTAGCCCTAGGGTAGGTATAACGTTAGGTAACGGATGAAACTGATACACATTAAAGTTTATTTATCTAGAAAAACATAAAAATATCCTTAACTGTGGTATAAATGCTTGTAATCATCATTCAAACACTCAAAAATACCGAGACCGGCACCTCGAAGTTGGCGACACCTTGAAACCCGGCGTACACACCACTCACCGAAATGATGAGGTGTTATCGCACCCGAAACATGTTTTAGTAGATAGTGCTTGCGAATCAAAACAACTTTTTTCTGTTCTGTGGTCTAAACATACGTAATATTATGTAGGTACACTTCTACCTAACCAATACATATTTCATGTGAAGTCAGAGTGAACACTGCAAAATACTTGATCTTAAGTACCTACTTATAAGTAGAGTCCACTTGCGAAGATGCGCCAGACAAATTTATCGTTCCAGTCACATACCTTATACCAAATACCTTGCTGGTTTATAACTTTTTCTCTACCCCGTAAACTTTTACTACTTTGGTCTTTTGTAAGGTACAGGTTCCTTCTCCAGACACGCTCTCCAATTCAAGCAAAAAGATCAATTTAATTTAAATATTAAACATATTTAATGAACCAATACCTCCACAATTCTATAGGCATGTTGATTGCTCTACTCAATTCTTTGTACTGCTCCAACCCGCTCCTTGGATGGCTCACAAGTACGTAGCTTTTGGGGTGCTCATTGAAGGTGAAAAGACGCTCGATAGAATCGAAAAAGAACCCACGTGGTACGAATCGCCAATTTCCGAAATCACCATATACAAGGCTGGTATATTAAACATGGAATGTCATGACATCACTGTAAATAAAAGCACTAATGAGTATATCCATGGACACATCGAGGACTTGTATTCATTAGGTGAATTATTGATAGAGGTAAATAGCATTTTAAATACCATTTTTAGTTCAGTTATTAAGAAAATTTAATATTTTAGTTATTTCTACAGATTTATTCATATTAGAATACACTCATTTATAAGCTATACAGGTGTATATCTTGCCAACCAATATACGTATTTTGCATCATTGTAGTCAGAACTAGTGGTCCTTTGTTAGGTAGATCATAATATATTGACTACCGTAAACGTGCAATGTTTTATTTTAGACTTTAATCCAAAGAGTATTTTTGGAAGCCGAGTTAAAACTTGTGCAACGTCTAGAAAACGAATTATTGGGGGAGTCGGAGGAAATCTTGGAAGAAGGCGGTCACGGAGAAGTTGGAAATATTCACCGTACTCGAAGGTTAAAAATTACATATATTTTAATTAACACAGATTATTCTACAAAGTTTCGTTATTTATCTGTCTGGTAAAATTAATATGTCCAAAAACCTCTATCATCCATGGAAGTTTACCAGCCAATAAATCAATCTTACTCAATTACGGCATTTACACAAAATGCACTGATAAGCTTAATTTTATTCAAGGTTTATACGAAAAGGTGAGATGCAAGAAGACACCAACAGTCATACCGAACACCAGCATATCCGCAATCAATCAATAAAAAGTGCGACTGTCAAAGTCGTACCTTTAACAAGCAAAGATAGCGAGCAAGAAAACAATGAATTTGACGTCGAAGAATACGAAATGGAAGAGAGTGTTTATCAACACATGTCTATTGTATCAGAAAGCATTGTCGTAAAGCCGGAAAAACCGTACTACATACCACTTACGGACGTGCTGTATCCAGGAGAAAAGGACTCGACGTATGACTTGAAAAAGTAAGTAGAAAAATATAGATTATTATACCATCACCAACCGGCCTCACCAAAATAAATGTATCGTACCGCCATTAATGTGATGAATTGATTGCAATCGCAGAAGATGTAGATTACCTGCCGAAAGTGTTCTGCAGGTAATCGCTCGAGATCGTCTAGATTTATTAAAAAGGAGAAAACTCTATTAAGGGTCGAAATCCAATGCAAGTGAATATTCTCTGAAAGTAACAAATGAAAGACCCTGTTAACTTCTTCGACAATAATAATTTTCTGTCGATAGATAGTAAGTAGGTAGAAAATCAAAGAGGAGCTCGATGGCGCAAGTGGTTGGCGCGTTCGGCTGCGATCGTTGAACTTAAGCAACTTTCGCAGTGGTCGGTCATTGGATGGGTGACCAGAAATTACTATCTCGAGCTCCTCCGTGCTTCGGAAGGCACGTTAAGCCGTTGGTCCCGACTGCATCTGCAGTCTTTAGCACCCACCAATCCGCACTGGGCCCGCGTGGTGGGTCATGGCCCAATCTCCCTATTCCATCCACTGGGAAGTCCTGTGCCCCAGCAGTGGGGATGTCTAATGGGGCTGGGGCTAATAATGTTAATAGGCTGATGATGATGATGATGAGAAAATCAAATGCATTGAAAAAAACACTAACTAACTGAAAAAATAAATACCACAAAGTTTGCAATCCACTTTTTTAAACATAAACATTACATGCTAATGATGATAATCATCGTCAGCTTATTAATGTCCCCACTGCTGGGGCACAGGCCTTCCCTGTGGCTGAAATAGAGAGATTGGGCCATGTCCTACCACGCGGGCCGCCCAATGCGGATTGGTGGTTGTTAACGACTGCAGTTGCAGCCAGGACTAACGGCTAAACGTGCCCTCCGAAGCATGGAGGACCTCGAGATAGTGAATATTTGTTCACCCTTCCAATGACCGACCACTGCGAAAGTTCCTTAACTTCAACGATCGCAGCCGAACGCGCTAACCCATCGTGCTCCTCTTGGTGTAATAATCAACGGAATGATGGTTATAATCAACGGTAAAACGGCATTTAAAACAGATTCCTAAGAGGAGACTACTGCCTTGAAAGCGACATTGATCCAGAGCGTCCAAAATTACCTCGCAAAGCAAAGCCGAATTATCCTTCCGCTCTATTAAAGTTATCCGATGACGTATCAGAATCAGCGTCTTGTGAGTTTGTATCTTTTTGTAGATATAATGTAGAACTACTATACCCTTATCACGAAGCAATATCCAAATCGAATAGTTGAAATCGTTACCTGTTGTGACGCTGCTTGATATTTGCATATCGAGGTCGAATTCCTCTAATTCGAATTCGATATTGGATCCTGCTTAGCACAGCACACCTTTTTCTGTGTTCTGTGGTGCTTAGAGTTTTGAGATCTACAAAATCGTAATACTTCATTGCCACTTTTTTAAGCTAAATACTAATGATATTTTTTTTCACAGCTCAGTCATTGGATTCTGAAGATGAAAAAGAAGTACGAGAATACCTGAGGTATTGTATATGAGTAGAAAAATAATTCCTCTGCTTCGTGGTTCATCCATTATTTGACATACTTACTGTGAATAGCTCAGACGTAGATTATTCAAATATTTAAAAGTTCTTTCCGTTTTTCTTTTTTAGAAATAACGCGGATCAAGTGAGCTTCGCTGGAGAAATAATAAAGAGTATAGCTCGAGAACATAAAAAAATCAATTTATTTGAAGGCGAAGGGAAGTAAGTCTATGTTTTATAAGTTTTTAACAACATAATTATTTCTGAAGAAAGTTAACAATAGAGAGAATGATAGGTACAGCAGGAATTTGACTCATATTCTTACGTAACAAAGAGCCTAAGACACAATTGGTGTTAAATATTATTCACCAAATTAGCCTTAATGTCAACCAAATTAATGGCACTGATTTTTTTTTTAAACTAATATTTTAAAGACAATTATTAAATACCTAACAGTACAATGACAATATTGATATGTTCGAGAATTTATGAAGTTAGGAACTAAAGAGTAGGATCAACTTAACACAGTAAATATAATAATTTATTGATACCCATATCTCTTTACTACGATACAGCTAATAAAAATAAATCTTGGTTGAATTGTGCCTTTGACATAAGTACACATGGAACCCCATTTCTAGTGCAAACAGTTTTATAAACACGCACGAAAAAATTTTTTGTATTATTCCTATTCTTAGTATTTCCAAAATCCAATAAATAATTATTTTAATTTTTAATAGGACATGCTTTTTTTTAAATTACCTAAATATTTTGTGTATTTATATTTTCATATCTTCATTTATAGTTGAATCTTTTATTTTTCAGACCTGTGCAAATTACCGAAGAACAGCTCAGAAAAGTTAGGTTGGTATATGCTCATCAAGTATTTTATAACTAAATCCAGCAAAATACTGTGAGTAGCGCTCCTAATGTACGGTATTAATGTTGCAGATGAAACTGATTGTTTGCACCATTAATATATTTCCCATTTTAGTATTTTCTCATGGACAAAATTTGGATAATTTAGTAGTGTGTACAATGAACGTATATGTACATACTTGCTAACTTGTTCTGTGCGCTAATTTTCAGGTATCAGGTATATACTTAGTCAGGTTATAAATTCTGTCACATGTTTTATATAAAATATTTGAAACAAGTTTATTCATTATGTAACCATTTATATACCATAATTAACTTAACAAAACATAGATTCTTATGACATTAAAGTTTATTCAAAATGACCTACGTGGCGGACACTATTAGAATATAATTATTTTAAAATAGAGAGAAAGTAAAAAGAAAGCTATAAAAAGGTATTCAGTATTATGTTATATAATTTTAAATCTTTTATTTATTGTAGGTGTGTCATATATGTTCCAGTATAAACCGGAACATAACTAACGGAACATGATATATGACATACCTACACTATAAATTAAAATAAAAGCTATAAAATAGGATAATTATAACTGCCTTTAAAGTCAGTTATAGTTGAATTTAAGGCAGGATTTGTATGCATAGTTATTTACTCGTATGTCAATCCAATATGGCGGACGGCCAAAGTTGGTGTACTAGAAATTTCAGGGTTTCGTACCTCAATAGGCAAAAACGGAACGCTAATAGGATCACTCGATTGTCTGTCTGTCACAGTCAATTTGCTGGGAATCTACTGGACAAATCAAGTTGAAATTTGGTACATATATGTACTGTGATCCAAACATGGACGAATAAAGTACCTACATAAATATATTCAGAATATAGGGGTTACTTTTGGAGGGTGAATTAGAAAATCAAAAAATATAATTTAGCTAACTGTACCATTACATATCAAATAAAAAAGCTCAATCTGAAGGTTCCGAAGATATTTTTTTTAACAAATTTATAATGTTTTATTAAATTTATATTTTTTTAATAACATCATGTTTGAAACTTCTGCGTCTAAAATTTTGAAAAAACCTTTTGGAATGTAGCTCTTTGCTTGTCATATATGAAGTTTATAGTTCGACTTGCACTTGGCCGTTTTTTTTTGTGTACTTTGGGTATCACTATGAAAGGGCTTTTTAAGAAGAATAAATTATTAATTGATTTCTGCGTTTACTTACTAGGTATCTTGTCAGTCGTTGTCAATAGCTTTTAGTATTCTTATATTTAATTTCTGTGTTTTTTTCTGCTTCTTTTTGTTCAACGCAAATAAAAGTGCGATTACCGTCAATTGGTCATAGTCCATGTTGTACGTGATTTTCAAAGAGCATCACTTTGCGATCTGGCAGTATAAATTCCTAATAAAAAAAACAAAACGTCTGCGCTAGAATTAGTAAACCGTACGCGTGCGTCCAGTGTAAAGCCTCGATTATGTACAATAAAAGTTTCATTTATTGTTATTACGAAAACTTTACTCCAGTTTTACAGTTATTGAGATAGAATTGTAAAATTAAATTAATTCATGCAAATAAGAAAAATACCAGTAATGGGGCAAGGTGCATTCGGTACAGCGGGGCCTGGTGTTATATGGACAGAAAACGTACCGCTCCAGCTGTTCAATAATATGATTCGTATTGATAATATTATCTTACTACTTCTGCTATTAATATAACCTTTTCGTTTTATAGATTAGCATCAGTCAATCATAAAGCAGCACATGATACGTAAGTACTGATTAATCTATATATACTTTTTTATAAAGCTAGTGTTTTTTTTTAGGTCGAAAGCTTTAATGTCATGGAAGATTGGATCAAATTGTTTTTTTTTTGTGTTGGATTGCTTTTTTATGAAGGTAGGCTATAAAAAATTACGTCATGACCAATAGGAGATAAGCATCAATGAAACGCGGACCCGGGCCACAGAGGTTTTTTAATAATTCCACTAACCTGGTTAGCTACAAGCCGAGATAATATAATTATTCATGTTGTATTTATTATTATAAAACAAAGCCAAATTAAATAGTCTCCGTTATGTTTTTAATATGCAGCATCTAAATATATAAGTATAGGAATATTAGGTAGACCAACGTCATATAACTAATTAAAATAATTTCTTTTTTTGCAGAAAAGTTACGATCGACGTCCCATCTTCGTCGCAGTGTCTACATCATAAACAGATAAAAAGACGCCAAACTGGTTTTGTACACCATAAAATATTCGACAAAACCGAATCGGAAGCATCATTGGAAGAAGATGAACAGTCAAGGCATTCATTTGATTGTGTCCTTTAATTTCGCAAAATTCTCCATCACTCATTCGTTTACATACCTAATTCTTATGTCGACCGGTCTAATGCCCTCCAAAATCAGGCACTGAACAGACTTTGAAGGTGCAATAGGAAGCCCATCGACCAAATACATAATGAAAGCGACACTTGCTTTTGTCATTCATTACACTAGCTATAACTTCTTGAATTTATTAGATTTTCAGCTTTGGCGATAAATATAGATAAGTAATACGGGCTCCGGCAGTTCACTTGGCTATTTATCATTGCTATTTGTAAACTAGACGACACTCTGTTCTCATCATGCTTTATAAGCAATAAAAACGAGATTAAGTTTGAATCGAGAATAGAAAGACTCGAGATAAGAGTGACTCGAGATAAGAGTGACACGAGATAAGAGTGACACGAGATAAGGGTGACACGAGATCGAGTTTAATTCGAGATAAGAGTGACACGAAATCGAGTTTAATTCGAGATAAGAGTGACACGAGATCGAGTTTGTATCGAGATTAGACTGACACGAGATTGAGTTTGTATCGAGATAAGAGTGACTGCAGATAAGAATGACACGAGATCGAGTTTGAATCGGAATTAGAAAGACTTGATATTAGAGTGGTACGAGATCGAGTTCGAATCGAGATTAGAGTGACACGAGGTCGAGTTTGGATCGAGATTATTGACTTGAGATTAATGTGACACGAGATCGAGTTTGAATCGAGATTAGAGTGACACCAGATCAAGTTTGAATCGAGATAAGAGTGACTCCAGATGAGTGACACGAGATCGAGTTTGAATCTTGATAAAGAGTGACACGAGGTCGAGTTTGAATCGAGATTAGTGACTTGAGATTAAGGTGACACAACATCCTAGTTTGAATCCAGATGAGAGTGACATAAGATCGTGATATGATCATAATAAGTTCAAGTTTGTTATAGAGTGTGAAGCTTTAACTCTGTGCCTTCTTTAATCATATGGCTATACTCTTAAATAGTATATGAAAAGGGTACTAATGAAAAGGTCTCACCTACAGGACGGTGCGTATATCCGCATCTGCGACAGTTCCGCCGCCACCCGGCCATCACACAGTCTCCGGTCGGCGGCCCACCGGCTTCATCCGTATGATGGAGATCGGTGACCCCGACTCCGAAACGAATGTACCAGAGCGCGAACAACGCGACTCGCACTCGCATAGACCTTCTATACTGCAACGATTGTACGATAGCAACCGTATCGACGAACACGGGCCTACCTTAAAGGGTCACAGGTGGGGTATATTTTTTCCAGAACCTTTAACCTCCTTTGTTTTATATGTATAGCTAGATAGATACCAGACATATACAGAATCGAATACCTAGAGTTTTCCGATGTTACAGAGCCCACTCGGATGTTCCAGACAAGCACCTAATGCTCACGTATTCACCTCACGGTGGAATGAAAAGCGAAGAGAGCGTCAAGAAATTAGTTTTGAGGAAGCCGCAAAGCACAAACGCCGACTTGGAGGAGAGCGTATTGGACTTTCAATATAATAAGAAACTAGTAAGGAAATTTTCTTCGGACTACGTGAAAACTTTCAGCCAGATGCATAACAAATTCGAGAATTCAATAAGAAGTATAGAGTATGCTAAAACCAGACCAGCGATGACGGTGTCTGATTACCAAGAGAGAAATCAACTGGATCAGAAGTTAAAGGATCAAATGGAACAGAAGGACGACGCACAATCGCCCGTCAAAAATGGTAAACGTTAACCTTAAGTTGTATATATATATACATTGGTGTCGATTCTGGCATGATTCTCTAAACTTAAAACTAAATTAAACATCAGTCTCTCTTTTTCATTCTGTATATAGAATGACAAGGATACACTGTTGTCAAATTTAAGTTTAGGTTTCGATAATCATTCCAGAATCGGTACCACTGTATAAATAAAAGAAATACTTTGATATTTCTGAAAATTAAATTATTTATTGAAAGGAAAACAACAGAAAAAAATTATCGTTACTTCTCTTTTTTTGTGATAATGGAAATGTAGTTAGATACAAAACCTGTTTTTTTCAAAATTAAACTAGCTTCAGTATCACTACATCTGTATTGTATTTTATCAGATCCCATAAAGTCAAAAAGGGGCTTGCGGCTGCCTGGGGACTCGCCCTTGTATTCAAAAGAGCTATCACTTTCCAGGGTAAGTGACGATTTCCACTATAATATGCATGTTTTTTTTATATTTTTATTTAATAGTTTACATTCCCATAATATAGTATAAAATATTCAACGTCAAAAAAATAGTAGTGTCCAAAAAAATTTAAAAGTAACCATCTTGTACGGGCATTTTAAACGCTCGCTTTTTTGGAACACTTGGTGTCGCGTCATAATCCATATTAACAAAACAAACGGGACAATTCAAAAGTAATAGAGTATTTGTAATAGAAAATATAAGCCTTATTTAATCAAACGCATACGAAAATAAAAAAGAAACTAACGCATTCCTACGACTTCTTGAATTGATTTCCATTTCATCCCCTGTTTAAACTCAGAGTTTTAATTTCGCGTCAAAGAGAAGCATGTCTTCTTCTTGAAAAATCTGATTCCTAATATCTAAAAATCTACCAAGTCATCAAAAACGGTTCAGCAGTTTTAGCATGAAATTATAAAAGACCGAGAAACATTTACTTTGTATTAATAAAATTAATATGGATTTCAATATTAATAGGGTATAATATCCAACCTAATTAATGTTATAAATGGTTGATATTCTTTCAGGTAAAATCATCTGACACAGAAGAGTAATTTTTGATTAATATAGCATCATACATTTTTTAAAGGTTTGTATTGCTTTAATTTTCTAAAAACTTTAGCTTTCAATAAATATTGTTATAGAAATACGTCTCTTGTTGTTTTATTTCATACGAAAACAAAAACCAGTAATTAATTCCAAACATTTTATTAACACTGAGTTAACACAACAAATTTCCCATCACATTATATTTCATTATAATAATATCTGCATTACATACACTGTAAACTATCACAATGCCACTTTCATATATACAAAAATATTCTTCGCTAATAATACAGGTCTCGTCGTACTCTTCGCTGGCTTTCTAGTAATATAGCGGCTAGAATCGACTCGATAGGTCCTCTCGTGGCGAGATCTGCCCGCCGACTAGCACCGTCACACAATTTGTCTATGGAACATCTAGTGTCCATGGCCGTGGCCGAAGGCGCTTACGCCGTTCTGCGAATTTGCCGAAGGCCGATTATTGTTTCCTTCAGTACTGTTCTCTAAAGCATTGTTGTTTCTGTTTTCTAACTGTTGTTGCCACATGGACGCGTAGAAACCTCCTTGCGTTAACAAGATTTCGTGGCTAAAAATTTTAACAAAATGATAATATTTTTTATTGCTCACAGCATACGACTTAAATTACGTCATGGAAACTAGATGAGTACAAAACGCGACCTTATTGCTTTACATATATTGAACTATTTCGCCTCTACAGAGAGCGCTTTATTGAGATTTAAAATGTATATCCTATTTAATATTACGTGTCATACTCACTGTCCCCTTTCGATGATTTCACCGTCTCTCAGTACTAGGATTTCATCTGCGTGTATGATTGTTGATAATCTATGGGCTATAATTAATGTCGTCCTATTCGCACAAACACGAGCTAGCGCCGCCTGTAACATTTAAAAAATTACACACATTATAAAAACCCATTAGAAATTGGATCTCATAGCTATTACTACCACGAACTATACTTTAAGATACGATCATATTGATTTATAGTGCAATAATACATTACGTAAATATCCGGCTCGAAGGACCATTTATGGAAAAAAGCTGGACCTCTATATTATCATTATCAGTTTATTAATATCCCCACTGCTGGGGCTTTTAAAAAAAGGTTCGGTAAGTACAGTAGCGTGTTTAGAAAACTGACAATGTAGTAGTATTTACTTAACTAGCATATTCCTATTAAAACGATAACAACTTAACTCGCCAAGACCGTAAGTTAACGAGCTACTGTACTAACCGAAGTGTATATCAGCCTTTAACGTGCCTTCCGAAGCACGGAGGAGCTCTAGATTACAAATTATTGGTCACACATCCAATGACCGACCATTGCAAAAGTTGCTTTACTTTAACGATCGCACCCTAACGCGCTATCCACTTGCAACATCGATCTCCTCCCTGCGCTTGCGCAATCGAGAACCTTTTATATAGAGGTCAATATAAACAATAGTTTATAAATTAAGATTCATCAGAGATATTTTTTACATGAAATCATCGCATAAATAATACGTTGTACAATATAATTCGCATTTTGGGTGTATTCCGTAATATATACCAGTATACTGGCCAGTGCTAATGACGTCATGAAACGACGCTATACTGATGAATTGTTCCGAAATATACTGGCCAGTGCACTGACGTCATAAATCGACGAAATATTAAAAATAGCATAAAAATTTTTTATTCACCTCATCAATTAAAAGGAACTAGCAAACCAGTGAACCAAATGTTCACAAAAACCTGATTTAAAAAAAAAATGTATTTAATTAATTGAGAACTTCGGAGATTTTGTGTGGTTTCGTTTGAAATAGAAATCACGTGATTTCTCGAAAACCGGAAGTGCTACGTTACTCACATCCGGTTTGTAGTCTTATCAGACTATTCTCAACTTATAACTTAAACATTCTCTTTATCTATCTCTTACGGTTTGGCCGCTGAAACAGCACCACGGACGGACGGCGGACGGACGGACGGACGGACGGACGGACGGACTTGTCTAATAGATAAGAGATTCTTTTTGTGCGGATGCCATTATTATTCTTTAAATAAAAAATAAAAATTCGAATGCATCTCACGCACGCTCGGTCATAAGTCATATTCGTTTTCCGGGAAAAAATGGTAGCATACCAGTACAATATGGCGTCGGATTCGTGACGTCATTACCATTGGCCAGTATACTGATGTATATTTCGGAATACACCCCATATTAGCTTATTATTTGCACAAGAATTTAAAAAATATCGCTTTTTATACTGTGTGTTACCTGAATATTTCTCTCAGTGTTCGTGTCTAAAGCTGAAGTAGCTTCATCTAATAGAACTATGGCCGGGTCCTTGAGAAGAGTCCGCGCGATGGCTATTCTTTGCTTCTCGCCCCCACTTAATTTCAAACCTCTTTCTCCAACCTGGTGATAAACAAATCGGACATTAAATATTTCATATCATACATTGAAATGGTAGGTATGAACATTTCAAAATTCAATTAACATCTTTTAGCTGATTAGAAGAACCGGCGCAAGAGACTCATTACCATTTAATATAACAGTAGCATGCCTTCCATTTAAGCCAAAAAGCCTGGCTTGTCCTTAGTAAATCGGAATTACACTACAGCTTCATTAAAATCTACTATATAAAAATAAGTCGGGTTTTCCTTCCTGACGCTATAACTCCAGAACGCACGAATCGATTTCCACGGTTTTGCATTCGTTGGAAAGGTCTCGGGCTCCGTGAGGTTTATAGCAAAGAAAATTCAGGAAAAATTAAAAAAAAAACTTCTTTTAATCACCAAACGAAATGTTACATAAAACGAAGCCATCTGGTGGCGAAACAGAGTTCGCCGGGTTTGCTAGTTTATTATAATTGTGATATAACACAGAAAAAAATAGTTAATAAAAATATTTCGTTCTTTTTTTATAGTTTACATTTAAGATATTTATAATAAGATTGTCGATTAATAAATCGCTATAATGCGGTAGACCGAATAAATGTGACACATTTCACTCTAGTCTGTCTTGATTCCGGGCTTCCCGAACTTGATATAATGTCCATAGTTTAAACCATCAATAAACATACCTTAACTCGAACCCGCACCCTCCGCTATCCGGGGGGATGCAATGACCATTATGCTTCGGTGACCCTAATGGCCGTGTCGAATTTTCTGTAGTATTTCGTAGGCTGCAAGGCAGCGCCATCTCTTCGCATTGTAGGTAACCCACGATGTCAAACGATTACATACATGTATTTTTACTACTCAATACGCTACCTATTATTTTTACAATAAAAAATACTATATACAAAATGCATAATAGGATATTTGACAAGTTTTAGAAAACGATCTCACGTTATTGACTAATGTTTATGGAGTCCGTAAAAAGGACTGGAAATTCATCATTCTATTGTGTATTTCAGTAAAAATAACCAAATCAAAAACTCCATTTTCAAGTTGCCGCGAAAACGTTTTTCTGGACAAAATGGCGTCTTACTAGTGTGTGACGTCACACGACTGTTATTAAAACGTCAAACGATACAATGTAATGTCACTTTAACCGGAAGTTTACTTGCGTGTGACGTCATTTTAGGCTCCGCCAATCCCAAGCGTTTTGGGTCACGTGACAATAGATAAGAAAACTATTATCTTTTTCGTGGGTTTTTCGCAAAATTATGTTTTTTTTGTAAAAATAGTAACAATTGGCATTTTATTTTCAATACTGTCAAATCGCCTACTTATTTAAGATGATTTTCGAAATATGTTTTTCACGAAAATAATCACAGTTAAAGTCTGTCTATATTTTTAATTAAAGATTACTGTATAAGATTACCGTCGAATTTATGATACTGTCACAAACGCGATCGAAATAAAACCGCGAAAATACTGGATACAGATTTTACTAGAACCCCGCTGTTCGCAACGTGAATATTCAGGACAGAGTTCGAGTGGTACGGATCATTGGAGTTTATTCCTTAAGAATCGATTTGCATTTATAAGGGGCCCGCCCGGTATGAGAAAAATGTGAGGAGTAAAATTTATCGATGAATGACCTCGTTACGTTTTTGGTGCGCATCCTGTTCGAGCCAAAATGACTCTTAAATCCGAGAGCTTAGGTGCAAAAGAATTAAATTGAAACTACAGTGTATTTTGTTAGACCATAAATTTCTTTATTAGTTAGGTGACGTTTTGCCTTTATGTAGCTCCAAACATATTTACAAGTGTGATGCAACGAACTACAGCGCCATCTATTTTGATACATATGAACTAAAATTTTAAATGCACAAATGGCGTATACATAATCGCATTAATAAAATTTTTAAAATCTGAACTGAATTTAGATATTGTTTCTGATAGAGCAATGGGGACAACGAGGTATGGTACAACCATTGATGCGGTATTTTCAAGATTCGTGAACCACGTATCTACGAACGTCCATGTGTCTTATTTTAGTTACCATAAACCACTGGTCACTGTAATTAATAATGCAGACAATGTTGATTTAATTAATATTTAAAAAAATGATACTAGTCTGATAATAATAATTACATAATTTATCAACATTCCTAATGATATATTTATGCACATCTGAAATTGACTATTGTAAAAAGTTTAATGTAAAATATTTCGTCGATTAGGTATTTATAATAAATGTATATGAAATGAATAAATATATATTTATATATGTATATTATTTTCATTAATTTGTTAATTTACCCTTTCATACAGTATCAATCTTTTTTAAGTTAAATAAACTCTTTTTGCGTCTGGTTAGACTATCGAACTTAAGGAGTAAACTCCAGTCGTGCGTCGGAGCTGACACACACATTTTTTTTTAATATGAGCCTTATGCAGTGCGGTATAAGTGAGAAGGTCAAAGCGACATTTGCACTTGTTTACAACTTATAATTTAGTAGCCGACTAAAATGTAGCCAGCCAACGGCTTGACTTGCCTTCCAAAGCACGAGGGAACTCAAAAATAAGAAAAGGAGACGTTTTAAAAATAGTAGTCAGTTTTCAGCAGTGATGAATCGTATATAATTTGCAAGCTTTTTTTATGTAATAACACGAACAGATAATATAAAGTTTTTAATTATACCCAATTAATTTTAAATCGTGTTTGAAAATTTTGTCAATTTCGTATGGATTCTCGTCACCCAGTCATAAGAAACGTCATATTAGTCTGCGGCCGCTTATAATGTCAACTCAATCACTTTGTCAAATGTCAATTAGTTCAATCATGCATGACATTCTTGAAATCATGGTAAAATTATTATACCAATTGTGATTGATTATTTTTGAAACAAAATACCCACAAAATACCTTATAGGTAACAGAATGAGAGATGAACAGAATCATTATCACTGTTTTAGTTACCTATTGAAAAGAATATATTTGATTTTTTAACAACAAACAGTACATAAAAAAACCGGCCAAGAGCGAATCGGACTCACGCACCGAGGGTTCCGTACAAACCAGAATTTAAAAAATATTTTTTATTATATGATGTAACTAAAAATTTACGGTTTTCGCAATTTTTCCTTTATCTGTACTATAAGACGTTACTTCGTACCAAATTTCAAGATTTCAAGAGAAATTCACGGGATGTCTACAGGGTACATCCCAAATTGCTCAATGGAAAAGTATACGCAAAGCTCGACAAACTAATAATAGAAACAGTACCTTTCTACAAGATCAGCTTTTCTGCCTTGCACAGATGCTCCTCTCCTTTTCAACTTAGTTTTCAACTGTATTGCAGACCATGTTGAATACATTTTCACCACTTACTTAATATTTTTAACAACAATATTCGGCTGTGGTTTGGATCAAGCGATTACAGAGCCCCTAGTGGCCAAATTTTGCAGAATTCTTGTCCATTGCCACGATCGCAGAAACGACGCGGTTACCATTGCTATCCATATCCTCTAAAGAAATATTTAAGTAATACATATATACTTGGATATAATAAAATGTACCTGTGTATCATAAGCATCGGGGAAGGTGAGGATCTTATCGTGAATGTCTGCGTTCTTCGCGGCAGCGATAATGTCAGCTGTTTCTGCGCTGAGGCGACCGTATTGGATGTTGTATCTGTCAAAATCAAAAATATTTATTCAGTCTAGGCTGTTACAAGCACTTGTGAAGGTCAAGAAGCTACGCCATCGGTTCGCAAAACTATGGCGGGAGACCTTGTACTGAGAAGAACCGGCAAGAATCTTAGCAAGGGCTATTTTTTTCTCCCTGTATTGTTATATACAGTCGTCAAGTTGAAAAATGACTTTAGAGATACTTCTGAAGTCACCTTCCATTACATCATTTAGCTTAAGATATATAGTTACAATAACTTTTATAGTTAACTTTATATTTAGTATATAGGAAGCGGCATCAGACAGGTACCGTATTACTGTTATGATAAATATGTCGTGTTGTGGTGTGAATTTGTGACGCGATCGGTTTCATACATTTAGTACGGTTAGAACTATACGTGTGTGTCGCGATGTGTCAACACCGTTCTCACTCTAACCATACTAAAGGACATTGGGCAAAAATGAATGGACGCTGCACCCACGTTAGTCACGGCTTAAATTACATTTGTTTGAAAGGTATTATAGTCATGATCATCTGTGCCAAAGCGCATCAAATTCCATCCCGGCGGTCTTTACTTATTTTAAGTTAAATAGGTACAAAACGAACGAACATAAATGAAATAAGGGAATTAATTAAGTTAGTTCGTTATACCCTACATAGGGGGCTCAGGTATTATAGGAGTACTTCACAAGGTGCAAGGGTGTGTTATTCTGCCGCGCTAGAGTAAATCCAAAAATCCCTGCATGGGTAGGTTTTGTTCAAACATTCTGTTCGTTATAGTTAATTGTCCTATGTAAAATGGAGCGACTACAAATCACACAAACTTGTCCACACTTCGGAGAAAACATAATTCCAGTTCATCCATACTAATTGACAAAACCGATAATCGTGTTCCAATGTCCAAAGCGTGTTAGATAAAAACTAATCAAGTGACAGAGAGCGCACAATCACTACGAAGTAAGATGAGTCGACTATTTGAAACTGCAAGTCCTTCAACCCCCGTAAACCGTTTTGAGGTGGCTCAGTACTTACTGAGCTTGCACTTGCAAGCGCAGGATGGTCGGCAGACTTTTAATTATTTATTTATTTTGTTTGTTGTATAGTAAGAAATGGCATATTATTATGGTTACTAATAATATAAAATGAAGGTACTATAAAATGAATTTATTTAGCTACCTACTTAAATATGCCCATTTGTCATATCTTATGACTACCAAGATACTTTTTTACGGTGTCATATCTTTTGACTACCAGGATATTTTTTACGATGTCATAATAAAAAAGGCTAGTTTTCATAGATCTATCGATTCATACTAATTACATTGTTCGCGGAGCTGGGTGTGTTTTGCCCCTTGTCCTTTATAAAACAGATAGCTCTCTAATGCGTCACAATACAAAATGACAGATAAGTGTAGTTCTGCCATTACTCAAACATATTGAAATCTCTCATTCATTCAATGGTTTGCCAATTATAATGTTGGCAGTTTACTTGGCTATTTGTGCTTTCTATTTGTAAATTTGACGTCAGTCAGTTCTTTTCATTGCTTACAAAGCATGATAAAGCCAGAATGTTGTCAAGTTTACATATAGCAAACACGGATAGCAAGTGAAGTGCTGACATGACTCATACTATAGTTAGTCAAATTACACTCGTACCACTTTAGAGGAATATTACTCATGCCAAGGTCAGTCGATGTCTCTCTTACCACATTTCGTTTAATCCTACTAGGTCCACTATAGCCATTTTTCCTAAATCTCGATTTAACTAAAACTAAATGGCTTAAATCTAGTCTTAGTTGAAACGAGATTTATCAAATTTCCTGCAAGAAGGACTTAATATATAATATAAATGCGAAAGATTGTGAATGGATGTTTGTAACTGTCTCACGTTAAAACTATAGTTTAGATTAAAACAAAAAGGGTAGATACAGCATTCGCGACTCAAAAGTGATCCGCTTAAATTGCGGTGCACTATCACAATTAGCTGTAGTCACACTTAGACATTCAAACAGGCTGCATGTACACTCATTAAAACAATATTACGTACATTCTGTGTTATAAAGATAAAACAATGCCGTCAACGCTTTTATAAAGAACACAAATAGTTCAAAATCAAATAAAAACGGCCTCGGCAACGCTTCTCATTCGTAAAACTATGGCGTCGGATTCGTGACGTCATTACCACTGGCCAGTATACTGATGTATATTTCGGAATACACCCCATATTAGCTTATATGTGAAAATCATTTTTTCACAAAAATCAAGGTTTGTCGTGAATGTTATTTACGTAATCGCCATTCTGTTATCAAGAAAAGGACAACAATACAGCTCAGCCGTTCGCACTCGGAAGCTGATTCGTCGTTTCGCTCGCTCTGTGTTAAAGCGTACAGTTCTGTCTCGCTCGCTCGATTGAATGTTATTTACAGACGTGTGTGAGAGTTGCTTGTGTAGTTGAGTCGGATCATATTTTATTTGATGCCAGTATGAGCGTACCGTATCTTCCCTTTTTGTTTTAATCCAAGATTACAAAGTTATAAACAGAAAGTAATCATAATAATCTTCTATATAAGTGTTGTAAAGTACTAACTATCAGGCAATAGGGGTAATGATGGGGTACAGTAAACGAAATTCTATTTAGTCCGTCAGTTAGATGATCAAAAAATAATGGACACGTATTTTTTTTTTGGGCAATCAACCAAAAAATTACAAAGTTATAGCGCTTCAAAGTTTGGGAGCAGGGGCTCGTGACGTCGCGTATAAGTGTACTCAAACGTGAAGTCATGCGACTTTTCAAATCAATATATCTCTGCAATGTTTATATTATGTGAAAAAAGAAAAAATACGTGTCCAATACTTTTTGATAATCTACCTGATAAACAAAGAAAAAAAAATTAGTCATCATCCCTTTTGTATATAATGCACACAGTTTTATACCTCATTTAGACTATGCCCATGCCGCTGCCCCTCGCGTTGCCGGCAATAATTCCCTAAATATTGCTGCGGCATGATTGAGAGAAGTATGTGTTTACATACTGCCCTACCTCTCACTTCGCTTCAGAGTTTCGGCAACAGCGGCCGAGCTGTTTCTTTTTGCAATCCATAATTATGTTCGAAATTTAAATAATTAATAATTTTAATATAAATAAATTAAGAAATAAGATAAGATAAGATAATAATACTTTATTGCACAACAGTAACATAAATAACACGAATAAAATACAAATACAAAGCAAAACAATCACAGTTGCACAAAGGGCGGTCTTATCGCTAATCAGCGATTCCTTCCAGACCACCCAATGAGCTGAAAAAAGTGGAAAGCACGATAATAATAATGAGGGAGGTTGTGCGGAAAACAAGACAAAAGTTTTGTAAGTAGTCAATTGAAATTAATTAAAATAAACGCTAACCAAACATATAGGCATACACAAACATTCACACATATCGCAGTATAATGCAACAGTACTACTACCGTAGCAATATTTTAATGAAAATTATGCTCATCTGACAAGAAATGCTCCTTAACTAGGGATTTGAAACAGACTAGAGTTTGGGCACGCCTAATCTTTTCCGGCAGAGAATTCCATAGATGGATGGCACGTATGGTAAAGGAGTGGTTATACGCCTTGGAAAAGTTAGGAGAGGTGAAAAGCAGGAGATTGTCAGATGAACGAAGCGGAAGATTATGAGAAGAAGAAAGAAACTGAAAACGTTCTTTGAGATAGACAGGAGCTTTTGGATTGAACAGTACTGAGAAGAGTAGGGACAATATATGCAGATCACGGCGACGACGAATGGGAAGCCACTTCAATTTCTGCCTGTAGTATGAAACATGGTCGTACTTACGTAAAGCGTAAATAAATCTGATGGAAAAATTTTGCAGACGTTCAAGTTTACTTATAAGATCAAAAGTAATATAGGGATAGCAAACATCTGCATAATCTATAATAGGTAGAAGAAGAGAAGTTGCAAGAGAAATTTTGGTGGCAGTAGGCAAGAAGTTACGTAAACGTCGCAAAGAGCCAGCCGCAGCAAAAGTTCGCCTACTGACCTCAGCAACCTGAGGACTCCAAGATAAAGTGTTATCAAATATGACTCCCAAATTCCGAACTGTTTCAGCAAATGGGATAACAATTCCATTTAAAGTAACTGATGGGAGCTGCTTAAAGTCAATCCGAGATATAAAGTAAGGACTACCAATAATTATGCACTGAGTTTTTATTGGATTGATTTTAAGTCCAAATGCATTGCTCCATTCCGTAATAAGTGCTAAGTCTGCATTAAGGTTATTTATTGCATTATTTAGGTTTTCCATAATTATTAGTTATAATTTTTATTATTTTAAAGCATGTAACTGCTTTATGTTTAAATCTAAAGAAAATATAACAAGTAAAAATTCCACGCGGACTAGGCAGCAGACGGGACTCGAACCCGCACCCTTCGCAATCCGGACGAATGCACTGACCAATTATGCTACTGCGGCCCTCACGGACAGCGTCGAAATTCCTCTAGCCATTCTTAAGCTGCAAGGCAGCGCCATCTCTTCTCATTATAGGTAACCCACAATGTCAAATGAATACTTTTACAAGTATTAAACATTTGAAAGAAGAAATAGCAATTATAGTTATAATTTTTATTTCTTAAAAGCATGTAACTGCTTGATGTTTAAATCTAAAGAAAATATAACTAGAAAAATACTTGTAAAAGTATTCATTTGACATTGTGGGTTACCTATAATGCGAAGAGATGGCGCTGCCTTGCAGTTAAGAATGGCTAGAGGAATTTCGACGCTGTCCGTGAGGGCCGCAGCATAATAAATATTAATTATTAATCATATTCAATTAATTAATGATTTTTAATTTGACGCCTTTCTCCACCAAGCGCGTGGGGCGAATTAAGCGACGCGCAGAGTGTGAACACGCATTGCCCTTTGACTTCCGCACAAAAAACCGCTCTTTTGGGGAGCGCCGGGCAGCGCGAGTGGCAATGGCAGCGGCATGACGAGTATCGTGTTTAGATACTCGTTGCATATCTTTTGTTATTTCTTGAATTAATTTATTGTAAACAGAAAACGAATAAACATTTATTATTATTAATGAGGAAACACAGACAAATTATTGTGATAATGTTGACCAACCTGACAGTATTATTGAATAGCACAGTGTCCTGCGGCACCACGCCTATATTTGCCCGCAGCGACGCCTGCGTCACCGTGCGAACGTCTTGCCCGTCCACCAGAATAGCTCCCTCGTTCACGTCATAGAAGCGGAACAGGAGTCGCATTATCGTCGACTTGCCCGCACCACTGGGGCCGACCTAATTTAAAAAGGTATTTAGTTTTAGAGGTCATTGATAAAAGCAAATTACTCAAATGGGCAAAAGAATATCCATTGTGACAACCTGAATTCTAAGAATGCTGACTTGATACATGGCATGTCTGAATAGCGATGTCTTTATAGTCCGAAATTCTACAACTCTACTATTATCATACTCATCAAAGCGACAGTGCTGTTCTTGATCTATATAGCGCCGGGCATCTTTAATATCGGAATCTACATTTTATCAACTTTTTTTTCTACTTTTCGCGTACTTACCAAGGCGACAGTACTTCCAGATGGCACTGTGAAGCTGACGTTGTTCAGAACTAATCTCTCGGGCCCGTAGCCGAAGGAGACGTCCTTGAACTCTATAGCGCCGCGGCGCACGAGCAGATCCGGGGCGCCGGGCATGTCTTTAACGTCCGAATCCACTCGCATCAAGTCAAACATGTTCTCCATGTCGACGAAATTCCTTTGTATGGCTCTGGAAGAATAAAACAAGATTAAAGTCGCTTGCGTGAGAAAACATTATTTAGGCAAAAGTATTTGTGAAACTCGCGGGTAGGCGCAAAAATCGTAACATCTCTTCTGAGTAAAACATATTTTTATTTATTTTATTAAATACATTAATTAAATTTAGTTGTGTGTAAACTGTACTTTTTGACATAAATTACAACATATTGTGTTGGCAATATCATCACATGCCTGTAGAAAAATCTTGAGAGTGCCAACACGTCAGGTCAACAGTTACTGCTATCAACATCACTTCACTGCACGACGACAGGTATAAGTAGGCACATGGCCCTTAGTATATTAGATAGTATTCTCCCTATCATCACATACATAATTAATAAATCAATTTCCTCAGGTGAATTTCCAGACTCATGGCGCAAGGCTCATATTTTGCCACTTCCCAAAATAAGTAATCCCACAACTCCTAGTCATTTAAGACCAATTTCTATTTTGCCATTTTTGTCGAAAGTCTTGGAGGCTACTGTCCATAGTCAACTATCTGCTTTCATAGCTAAAAATCACGTGCTAAACCAATACCAGTCTGGTTTTCGACCGGGTCATAGCACCACAACTGCCTTACTAAAAATCACTGAGGACGTTCGTGATGGCATATGGAGATGTCACGGTTAACGGTTCTGGTTCTCATTGATTTCTCTAATGCCTTTAATGCCGTTGATCATGACATTCTCCTTGCTATACTATCCCACTTGCGAATCTCGTCTCCGGAACTAGATTGGTTTTCATCTTATCTTCTTGGACGTCAGCAAGCAGTTCGAGCTGGCGGTGATTTATCGGATTGGTGCGATTTATCGGCTGGCGTCCCACAAGGCGGTATTCTCTCTCCTCTGCTATTTTCAGTCTTTATCAATCTCATTACCTCCATTCTTCGCAACTCTTACCATCTCTACGCAGACGACTTACAAGTTTACGCTCAAATTGGGGTGAATGACCTGGAAGTTGCCATTAGGTCTATAAATGATGATCTTCAGCGAATTTCGGACTGGTCTCGCAATTTCGGTATTAAAGTCAATCCAAATAAATGCCAGGCCATTATCCTGGGCAGCGCTCGTCTTCTGGCGAAGGTGGACATGAGCTCTGTTGCGTCTCTCTATTTTGAAGGAACCCCAATAAAGTTTTCTCCTGAAGTTGTGGACCTGGGTATACAGATTGACCATTCTCTCAATTGGATAGCACAAGTAGACGCTATAAGCTGTAAGGTGATCGGTATACTTCGGTCATTCTATCAATTCAAAAATTTTCTCCCAATATCTTCTAAAATTCTCTTGGTTCAATCCGTAATTTTGCCCATTATAGATTATGTGTGATGTGTGTTACGCTGACATATCTCAAGAACTTCTTAACAAATTGGATCGATTGCTCAACAACTGCATTCGTTTTATTTTTTGTCTCCGTAAATACGATCACGTTTCTGCCTTTCGGAAGAAGTTAAATTGATTAACAATTCGCCAACGTCGAAATCTCAGAATTCTTTCCACCCTATATTCAATCATTAATGATCCATGTGCTCCTGGATATTTGAAATGTAAATTTCGGTATCTTGGCAGTATCCATAATCTGAATCTTCGGTCTAGCAGCAAACAACTCTAGCTTTTCCCTCTCACCATACTGGTTTTGTTTCCAACTCATTTTCTCTTCAAGCTATACGACTCTGGAACGCACTGCCTCCTCATATTCAAGATGCTCCGAACAAACTGGCTTTTAAACGCTCCGTACGTCATCATTTATTAGATTCCTCCTGCGCATCCTCCTGATATGATATATATTTGTATGTATATTCTAAATATATATAGGGTGAAATTGAATGTTTCAATGAAACTTCGTGAGATTGGTGGGTTACGTGTATAGAGTATGCCTGATTTTTTTCGGATTTTATTAAATTATTTTTTACGTGTTTTATTTTTTTATTTGGTTATTATTTGTCATTTCTTCCTTATGAGTAATTATTCATTTTAAACACGTCTACATAGAAGTTGTAAAACCCCTTAAAATAAGCACTCCTAAAAAAACGGAAACTTAATGAATGACTCCAGTCCAGATCAGCCCCGGCCGGGGGCGACGACCGGCGCCGGCGGCCGCCTATGTACCTACGATACGCACAGATGACTCGGCGCTTACCTACTATCCGCTTTGATTCCACACTATTTAAAAACATTACAATAAAATAGTCTTATATGCTATATTATAATTATTTATTCACTGATACACAATACCTTTGAATATTATTTCATAAAGCACAGGTAATTAATCAATAAAATAAATCTTCTGTTAGAGCAATTAAAAATCCTATAAAGTTAATATGACTGTCACGATTTTAAATCGGTAAAGACTGACTGTTAGTGTAAGAACTTCTTTTTTATTGTTGATGTTAGTGGCCTCGTTTAATTAAAACTTGAGCAAACGGCGAAAAATTATACAGAGCAATCGGTTTAACTTACGAGCTTAGTGAAGGAAATAACTCTTCGTGACTGATTTGCCCACGTCATGAAATTCCGAACACATTTAATCACAGTCACAGTCACACACACACACACACACACACACATAATATGTTGTTTTGCGGCAAGCACGGTCGGGCGACGCGCCGCCCGCGCGCCCGCTGGCAAGACAAGTGCAGCGCTGGCGCCGGTCGCGGCGTCTTTGATGATGTGAATCCGTTTTCGTTTATAGTGCGCGTTTTCCTTTCAGAGAAGAAAGAAACAGCACGATTCGCCAAAGTTTCGCTAAAGGTGCGAATACACTAAATCAGCAATAGCGATGTATTGAACAATCTGACGCTAGTTCTCCAACATTTTCATCAACAAATGAATGAATTGTTGTGGATACAACAACTTTATAATTTTGAAATGTTAAATGTTTATCATGTTGTTTGATTAAGGCACTTCGCGCACTAGACGACCGCGGCCACGATTAGTTGTGGACGTGGCCGCAACCTTGGTCGCAGAGGCGGTTGGGCTGCGGCTGCGGTCTGCGGCCACGACCACGACTGGTCTTGACGCTACCATATTGCTGGTCGTTTATTTCATTAATTAATAACTCTGTATCAAAACTTATTGTAGAAAAAAACGTCGTCATATTCAGTCGAAGAACGGTATGAAACATGTTCATTCACGAACTGTCCGCATGACCTTGACACTGAGATTGACCGCATTCGCTGTCGCAGATCTAGTGCGGGCCAGTACCACTAGTCGTTGCGACTATCTTCCGTATAGCTGGCTGGCGCTCGCGCTCTAGATCTGCGATCGCAAATGCGTCCTGGTCGCTTCAGCCATTCTCAGTGTCATGCTGATAGTTCGTGAAAGAGCACGCTTCGTATCGTTCCGCAACTCTATAGGACGACGATATTTTTCTGCAAAGAGCTTTGAAAGAGTTATTTATTAATGAAATAAAGAAACGACCAGTAATATGGTCGCTTTACGACCAGTCGTGGTCGTTGCCACAAACTTGTCCGCAGCCCAACCGTAGCTTCTGCGATCAAGGTTGTGGTGACGGCCACGGCCATGACGGTTCATGGTCGTGGCCTAGTGCACGACGTGCCTTAGTTAATCTGGTCCTCGCGGCTCCTGGTCGTGGTCATTATCGTCTAGTGCGCGAGGTGCCTTACTGAGGCAGTAACAAATATCAACGGCAGTTTTTTTTTGTAAATGTTTGACTATAGAAATACAAGGCTTTACTTTAGTTAGTCTTAGTAAGTAGTATGGCGCGGGCTATTTCGGCATGATTATGTGAAAGCACCTTAAAAAGTCCTGCCTTTTATGTACGCCGACGCTCGCCCGCCCACCTCCCCTCTTCCCTGCGCGCGGTGCTTTGCTTTGATTGCAATGCATGCAAAGGGCAGTCGCAAGTATATCAATCGCGCGTGCGCATCTTTTGACTTAGTGACAAACACTGTGATAATTTCATTATGCCTCGGTATACGAACCAAGAATATTTAGAAATGGTGTACTGCTATCGCGAGTGTGACGAAGTGCTCAGTAGGGCCGCAAGGCTTGCTTTAGGCAAGTATAGTGCAATAACTTTGCAAATAATAATTTTAGTCTCTTTTTTTTGCTAGCGTTAATACTTTTTGATTCGAAACAACTAATTAGTGTACTACCAGTGTGATTGATTTGATAAAAAGTTCTAGTGAAAAAAATGAATATGTTCCTCGTTCCTCGTTGTACCTACCTACATCGCCGGTCTCGTAAGTACTGTCTAATACCTAGTTATAAATTTCTTTCTGACCCAAGTATTAAACTGCAATAAGTATTTGTTTTTGTAACAAAATTATTATTAACTTTTTAGGTATTTTTCTCTGCTAATGAGAACATAACACTTGTTCTTTATTTAAATTTTGTCATTGTATGAATAGAACGATCTCAACTCTGAGAGCGATCTTGAGATGCTGTTTAGTATGAACACGTAGTCGTATTCTCACTGTACTGTAGATAGGTACGCGCCGCGTCAGCTGTGCGCGCGCGGTCGTTCCCCCCGGCGTCGGCCTCGCCTGGCCACATCAACTATTTTTCGTTTATTTTAGTAGTGCTTATTTATTTGTTATATTTCACTTACTATTAATTCCTTTTTTAAAAATAATTATCACTCAAAAGGAGGAAAGGACATAAAAATGCAAAATAAAAAAAAATAAAAAACGAAAAAAATAATTTTAAAAAAACTGAAAAAAATCAGGTATACTCTATACACGTAACGCAATAATCTCACGAAGTTTCATAGAAACATTCAATTTCACCCTGTATATATATATGTATTATTATTTATGTATTTTTATAGATTTTTATTTTATGTAGTATATATATATTATCTTGTTTCCATAGATATAAAAATATAATAAGTAATTTGATGAATTCTTTTTGCACTACCTTAAGATTTTTGCTAAAATTCTCCGGTTGACTGGTAGAGAATGCCTAATGGCATTAAGTCCGCCACTTGTACATACTTTTGTGCAATAAAGTATAAATAAATAAATAAATTTGTGTAGACCAGTCGATAGGCGGCAGACTCAGGTAAATTTTCCTCATCCCCTCATTGTATACACACGGACAGAAGAAAATATATAAATAAAGACAAAATAACATTGCACATACCTATAATAGGTGCCGAACCAATTGAGAGGTACGTAAAGTTGTACCAAATAAGTCGCAAACAGCGAGTAGTCACCCACGGTAAGCTGTTGCGTATTAGCCACCATATGAACGCACAGTAACGATCCAGCCATTAGACCTATAACATATCAAACATTAACATAAGTACACAAATATAGATAATTGTAGCATTGTAAGGTTTGGGTTAAGGTATACTAAGGTAAAGGAAAGAAATACATAACGACACCTTGGGGTAGAAAGGTCGTATAAATCATTTTACCCAAAATGTAATGAAATGCACTTTTATTTAACGCTCTATAGATTGATCTATGTGACGCAATGAAATTCGCAAAAAAAAGGGTTTTACAGCCCTGATATCTGTTTTCCTTGGAATTTATGATGTAAGAACCAGATAAAATATTGTTGTTATGACCACACAACGGCAACTCGTTATACTAATTTTAGACGTTATAATTGCTAGAATAAGGTTCATTTTACAATAGTCACGGGTCTCCCTTGTCAGTTCCTATGAAAGCCGGGCCATCGCCGGGTTAGAAAAGATTTTGGCACAATTTAGTTACCTGATATCAATATTAGTGCCTGTCTAATCATAAGAATGCCTAAATATAATAATAGAAAAGGTTTTTATTATAATGTAGTTAAATACCCAGAAAGCCGTAGTTGTATCGAACGAAATTAGCAGAGATACATGGTTTATACCTCCCTTTTGCTTTATTTTTTTTGTTTTAACGGTGTTTATCAAATTAAATCATTTTTTTATTAAATCAAGACATGATTATACATCATGATATATTTGTTTCTTAGGATTTCACGGACATCACTCATTAAATAAAACAAGTTTCAAAGATTAGATGATAAAAATAAAAATATTTTACACATTGTTTTAGTAAATACATATTTTTTAAATTGACATAATTTGAGTCATCATTAAGAAGGCCCACTTGTAGCAAATTTGCTTCAATTTAGCTAAAACTATTATCCCATAAAAGCATGTCAAAATGTCAATGTTGCTATATCTAGCTTTTATTAAATTGAGATTTGATTGAGATTGAGCAAGTGGACTTAACTGACTAAAATTGAAATAAGTTTACACATAGGTACTGTAGGTACAGTGGGTTCTTTAGGTATAATGGTTTTTGTTACCCTAGTTTATAGTAAGGTATGTAATATTGCTATAAAAATATAATAGTTACGACTCCCAACATTCGAAAGGTATAATTTTACGACTTACTTTATTTTACTTTAGTGACATTTAAGCTCAATAACAAGGACTTACATGTATTGACGACTCATTACAATGTAACAATTTAAATAACTATGGGGTGTATAAACCATTTTCAAAAAAAATATGGTTGTAAATCTACACCAACTTCTAAACTAAGATAAAGAATAAGGCTTTTTAAAGCAAAGAACATATCTCAGTTAATAAGGTCAATATAACTATAAAAACAAAAAAGTTATTAGTCAAAATGTTTTTAAAATATTGTTTTTTGCTCTTTCTGTAAAGTAGGGTTTTGGCTTTTACTACCCCAAAGTAGCGATATAATGATGTTTTTTTATAAACAGCCATGTCTCATGCCGGCACTTCACATGGCTCGCTTTTATTAATTCACTATACAATACGTTAAGGACAAAGTGCTGTCAAAATGACAAATAACTAACACGAATAACGTATTTTATTAATTGAGAACTTCGGAGATTTTGTGTGGTTTCGTTTGAAATTAGTGATTTCTCGAAAACCGGAAGTGCTACGTTACTCAAATCCGGTTTGTAGTCTTATCAGACTATTCTTAACTTATAACTTAAATATTCTCTTTATCTATCTCTTACGGTTTGGCCGCTGAAACAGCACCACAGACAGACGGACGGACGGACTTGTCTAATAGATAAGAGATAGGGTGACGGATATATAAACAGCCTTGACTTAATTACAAATGCTCGTATTCATCTTACAAACATTTATCCCATCGGGATTCGAACCCAGAATTCTCGAGTAGGCGACACAGTATCTTTTGATGTTAGACAACAAAAACTATAGGTGGGCCAATAGTTTATTATGCAATGTTATTTATTTATGTCATACTCACCACTGCAAATAATTATGTTCTGGATTGTGTTCAACATGTTTAATGTGATCAATGATTTGTACTCTTCTTTCTGAAATAAAAAACAATATTAATTTTCCATCATATAACAGACACTTGACTTGCCAATTTCAATTCTATGTGTATGCGCTATCGACACAGATTTTATCTTTTCCGGGCGAGGCGAGCATTTTGCACCTTAATTATGAGTTATGATAAAGTTACTTATATACATTGTGATGTAGATGTGTTAGCTATCAGATGGGTGAAGAGAAAAACGAATTACCTAGTTCATCTTACCTGGAAATTCACAATGGCATCTTTATAGGTCAACACTTCATAGGACTCAGCGCCGTAATACTTGACAGTTTCAAAGTTAAGCAAGGAGTCGACAGAACGCGCCTTCTGCTCGTTGTCGGCGAGATTCATCCGCCGCTGGAACTTTGTACGCCATTCCGTGACCACTACTGTTGCGACTGTATTAAAACATTAAGAAAATAAACTACAATGTAAGAAGGCTGTATGAGCTTATGCTCTTTGCCCCACCCAAAAAAATATATAACTGCAAGTGTAAGCCTGAATGAATCACCTAGTCCGAGTCGGATTCCTAAGTAAATATTAAACAAAACCATAGAATATTAAAACTGAAACGAGAAAAACAAGTACAAAGATTTACATTTATATTACCTACAGCTCTGTGAAAACATTCTCGCGTATATCTCCTCTCAAGAGCTTAGTCACAGCGTTGACGTTTCGCATATTAATAGGGTTTTCCTTTGGTCCAGCAGAAGACGCGGATAAAGGAGGGATTATTTAGATTTAATCATCTTGCAGTTAAATGGTTAAAAATAATAAACTACATTTGCTCTTTCTTCTTTCAAATATATAATACTTGTAAAGGTATTTCGTTTGACATTGTGGGTTACCTACAATGCAAAGAGATGGCACTGCTTTGCAGAAGAAATTCGACACGGTCAGTAAGGTCGCGGTAGCAAAATTGGTCAGTTCATCCGCTCGGATAGCGGCGGGTACGGGTTCAAGTCCCGTCTGCTGCCTGCTTGCGTGGAGATTTTTCAAGTAAAATTAACTTTAGACTTAGATTTAAACATCTAACAATTAAATGCTTAAAAAATAAAAATACATATAATAAATATTCGCTAGTAAATATTAGTAAAAAAATATAATGCCAAAACAAAAATACTTACTTATATACAATATCATCGTAGAGAATACGATGAGACCGAACCATGCGTTAAAAGACACCACGAAGTATACTACTGCGACGAGGATGTCCACCAGAGTGGGCGTGATAGAGAACAATATGTACGACAGCAGATTGTCTATGGAGTCGGTGCCTCTGTCCATGACGCGCAACACTTCGCCCGTCTTACGCGACAGATGCCAACTGAGCGGCAGCCCGTGCAGATGTTTGAAGAGCTCCATCTACGAGGATAGGAAAATAGTGATTTATTTATCTTAAAAGTTACAATTGCTCTTAAATTCTATTTAGAGAAATTAAATCTTAAATATAATCATCAAAAAAAAACACCTATTAGCCTAGCCTCAAAGTAAGCACTGTAAGGGTGAGGCCAAACGAGCGTAATTTTGTGAGTGGTGAGTCGCAGAAATTCTGCTGCATTCGGTTTCATACAAAAAGGCAGTTGATGCCACACGACAACGCAAAATGAGTTGTCTGCCGACTCAATGCGCATAAGCTCGTCCGAATTTCGGTCGGGGTGAGGGTAGGGCAAGGAAGGGGAGTGGGGAAGCAACAATTTGTTACAAGTTGTGTGGTGTAATAATTCTTGAAAAACACGTAATGGCATATGATAGTACTTTTCAAACATATCTGGATTTGCACATAAACGTTCATATACTACTACTGTCCACATATCAGCCTCTGACTGTTCAGTGGGTTTACCCAGTTTCTTTTTCTGGCCTCATCTTCTGAATATGCTTCGTAAATACACAATATTTTTAATGGATCCATTGCACTCGACGACACGGACACCCCGTACTAACGCTCAATAGTAACTGAATAAATTACGTTCGTATGGCAGCTCAACAGAAATTCAGTTGAACGTAAAATAAGTGACCGAAAATAAGAGACTCACAACTCACAAAATTACGCTCGTTTGGCTTCACCCTAAGGCTTGTGTTATGGGATACTAGGGTAATGGATAGAATACATATACTGTACATATATAAGCATATGCATGTAGTAATACATATTAAACATCCATGACTGGAGTACAAATGCTCGTATTCATCACACAAACATCTGCCACTAACGGGATTCGAACCCGGGACTTCTGAAGCCGGCGACACCATGAAACCCGGCGTACAAACCACTCGGCCACGGAGGTCGTCAAAAGTACTAGTATTAACTGCATCACAACCGTCAGTGACTCCTTCCATGATATAAATTTGTAATTGTGATGCACACAATTTGGACCTGACTAACCAAAAGAAAAAGAACTAATTGAAATATAAAGATGGATGTCCTTGATATTTTCGTTTTGTTTGATGTCTCCCTTTCAATTATTACACACAATCATGCAAAAACGGCTACATGGGTTTAATGAAATTTGGCACACTTATAGTTTGCTACCTGGATTGAGACAGGGTACTTTTTGAACCGGAAAAATGTTAGGTTCCTGTGGGATTGACAAAAACTAAAGTAAACGCGAAAAAAGTAACAGATGAACAAGATGTTTTTCCGATCGAATTCGATGGCAGGATAATTTATTGACTATAATGGTACCTAAACCACGATATTTAGGTAGCAGGGAGGTAATTGCCTAACGGAATTGCTATGACTATCCCTATCGCTTACGATTTGATTTTGTTATTTCTGACTGCCGAAATCAAAGTCAAATACCTTACGATCATTTTCTTTAATATTGTTATTACCAATGCAAAAGAAAAAAATAGAGTGCGGTGCATATGTAAATCTCCGGCGATCAGAAATGAAATCGTAAGAGACAACGATAGCCATAGCAACCTCGTTAAGCGATTGGCCCCAGGTACCTACTATGTTCATTTTATTTTAATATTCAAATGATATCTAATAAAATCAACCATATTAAATACCCAAGATACACCAACACGAACAAAATCGTGCCCGAAACTTCTCCAAAAGGTACATTGGACGATCCACGGAGCTCCGTAAGATGATCGCGTTATCAAAAACAATATAAAACATAATTTAAACATTGGAAGTCACCCTTAATGCATACTGCATAAGGTCTTAATTAAAACGCATGCATCAAAGAGTTATGACAGTTCGAAATGCAAGCTCGTAAAATTTTACGACTTATTGCTTTATGCGGATAAATATAGACCTTATTTCTATGGCTCTACGCGCAATTCTGAATGCGCTGTTAGCAATATAGCAGGTACAGGCCGTGAGGAATATAGATGGCTATACAACCGACCACGAATATGAATATTACAAATATTTTTTATTAAATCAGTTTATAGTAAGTATTAGAACAAAACTTGCTTCAAATGCATAAAATTTACTTGCATTTTTTCACGAAGCTCCGCGGTAACTTGATTTTGCAACGGTCCGGGCGTAACTGGGAACCAAGAAGTGCTGGAGTAGCGTTCAAGCACTTCTTGATTGGGACACATTTTGAGCGCACATGGTGTATCTAGGGTATTTAATACCGCTGAATAAAATATAATCAAATAAGTGGTTGCCCGCAACTTCGTCTGCGTAGAAATATTGGTTTCCCATACACACTTTGAACCCCCATTTTACCCCTTTTGTGAGTTTTGAAAAATCAAGAAGTGCTTGAACGCTACTCCAGCACGACTGCATCATAACAGCTTTATCTGTGTCAAATTGCAGTGCACTCTTAAGTGTTTTGAGCTATGCGTTGATATATCAGCCAGTAATAGTTGCCTTTTAAATAATATATAGATGGATTAGTGTACAAACCTGAAGCTCCCTAGATGTGTACTGCTGCACTCTGATCCACAGAAATGATCTTAAGTTGTTGAGCAAACCCATGCCGCCGGTGCCACCGCCCTGCAAGAACTTGAGAATCACGGAGACCACGACCAGATCCCATCGGAACAATATCGGAGGCTCCGAAAGGCTGTTCACTGGAAAACAAACCGGGGATGTTATTATCTCAATTTAACTCCTTCCGCGCATTAAAACGTCTATCAATTTGAATTCTTACTATCCTACTTATATACATATAAAATAAATGTAAAAGTTTGTATCTTTGTCACTTTCATTCACGCAAAAACTACTCAACGGATTTGAGCAAAATTTGGTGACCTGAATTGAGTGAGACAATTCTGTCTCTCACTCAATCCAGGTCACAAAATACTTGAGCATCTCATCATATAGGAGACTCCGAAAGGCAGTTCACTGGCAAAAAACCTGGGGGTGTATTGTCTCAATTTAACTCCTTCCGCGCATTATATCGACTGTCAATTTGAATTCTTACTATCACTGACGACCGCTAATAATATTTATATTATAAATTAGGGACCGCCCGCGACTTCGTGTGCGTTAACTTTAGTTTTTTAAGAATCCCATAGGAACCTAACATTTTCCGGGAATAAAAAGTCCTTTCTGTCTCAATCCAGGTCATAATCTATATGCGTACCAAATTTGATCCGATTCCGTTCAGTAGTTTTTACGTAACAAAAATACAAGCCCCCATATAATGATGATTAAAATATATAACCATGTCCCTAACTATTTAAAAAACTATAACACACTGACACAATTTATCAAACATTTAAAAGCCTTTCTTATTGCCAAGTGTTATTATGACTTAAATGAATTTTTCAATGACAAATCACCCAGCCAATGGAATGCTTCAGACTCTTAAGAATTTAATTTATAATGAATGTATTTAAATGAAGGATAAATAACAATATTTTAATGAATTTATGGTGTCGATTCTGGCATGATTCCCTAAACTTTTTTACTTATGTATTGGGAATGATAAGGATACACTGTCGTCAAATTTAGGTTTGGGTTGGAGAGTCATGCTAGAATTGACACCAAACACCAATGTATGTAAAGAATGATTAAAACTTAGTTTATAAATTATATTGTGCAATTGTATAATAATATATTTTAAATAGATTATAACCCTCTAAAGTTGCTGTGCCCTTGCAGGGCGTCACATAGTTACTGTATTTGTTATGTACCACCTTATTTTTGTGAATGTGATATGCAATGAATGAATAAATAAATAAATAAATAAACTTTCTCATTTATAATATTAGTAGGATGTCAAAGTTTGCATGTTTGTTCTATACTGTAGTGATTTAAGTGAAATTTGGTACGCCTGTATTTAGTGACCTGGATAGAGAAAGACATAGGATAATTTTCATCCCGAAATTTTTTTAGGTTCCTGTAGCATTCTCAAAAATCTAAAGTCAACGTGGACAAAGTCGCGGGCGCCGCTAGTATGTGAAATATTTCTAAAACGTCTTAGGGAAAGGTTTACAAAGAAGTAAAAATAGAATTGCGAGTTAAACAACTTTCGCAATGGTTGGTCATTGTATGGGTGACCTAAAACTTATTATCTCGAGCTCTTTCGTGGTTCGAAAAGCACGTCAAGCCGTTGGTCCAGGCTGCATCTACAGACGTTAGCACAACCACCAATCGACCCCGGGTAGTGGGTCATAGCCCATTCTCCCTATGCCATTTATAAGAAATGCCTGTGCCCCACCAGTGGAGGCAAATTAGCTGATGAGACTACGGATTGTAAGGCTTGCACTTAGAGTGGCACGAAAAGGCATTTGCCGCTATAATGTTTATAGGACACTATAGACAATCAGATATAATAACACTATGTTTCATGCTAAAGTAGGTGCAAAAGAAAAATAAAGCATGACGGCCAGTTATTAAAGTTTGTATTTTTAGAAGCCATTCTATTCATCACTCTTGTTTAAATAATTTTTACATAATATATGCTCGTTTAAACGGTTAAACAATAACGCATACAAAACATTTCATTTATGAGGGATCATTAATAATTCAGCTCGCTATGGATTTCATGTAACACGCTTCACAAATCGCATTATTTTTAATAGAAATTCCACGGTCACATCTGATTCACAGTATCACAATGCAGCTCATAGCCTCTTACGCAATCAACAAATTATATCTATCACTGAAAACCAAACACGAATTTTGACAGCTCCATAATCGTATCGCATCGTCAGTTTCTATGAAAAGTAAGCAGCGCCCCTACCAGACGTAAGAACAAACTAGCTCCTTCCATACAAAATTTAACGATAACGATATGTCTACGGCTGTCGAAATTTCAGCTTGGATCTCTAGTCAATCGAGGCAATCGAGCAATATCTACTTACATAAAAAACGAACAACTACAGCTTACCAATCAATTTGCTATAAATGGGCACGTACAAGTTGACAATACGACCAGCAATTAGGGCCAGTATGCAGATGAACACGTATATCTGCAGGCACAGGTCTTTCCTCGGCCATAGGAACGGCAGCAAGACGCGGAGTTTGCCGAACACATTGCGGAACGTCGATGAATTGTCAGACTGATGGAAAATGTATGAAGAGTTATAAATTTAAATAAATATAATAGACGTATTATATTTATTTAAAGCAATGAAGTAACTGCTAGATTTATAAATCTAAAGAAAATTGTACTAGGAAAAGAACCACGCGGTCCAGGAAGCAGCGGGACACCAACCCAACTCGAAGCTTAGGGTGCGGGTTCGAGTCCTGCCTGCTGCCTGAACCGTGTCATTTTTTTTAATAAAATTTTCTTTAGATTTATAAATAGCGGAGGGCGCGGCTTCGAGTCCCGTCTGCGTAACAATATACCTTTCAGTTATTACATCATCAATAAACAAAAATTTCAGGCTGTCTTTCAGAATCAATATTATTTATCAACCTCCAGCCTTCTAGTGCCTTGCTTAGATAGTATTGTTCATTTATAAATATCAACTGTTAAAAACGCAACCAGAAGTAACTTATCTTTATAAAGAATGATTATTAAAATCATCCATTAGCTGTCAAAATCCTAAACTCTTTAACAGTATTATTAAACGTGATTAAGAAACTCAACTGGCAGTAACCGTTCACGAGAATGACATATAAACTAGTATTTGCTTCGTTTCGAGTCATATTTTAGGGAACGTAATCACCCTCCTCACATGAGCCCACCGCAAGGACAATTTTTTTAGCATTGCGAATTATAATACTGGGTTTTTTAAACTCGAGAGAACACAAGTCGGGCTCAAATGACCTTCTTAACTCCCGTTAAATACAGTAAAAAGAGGGAGACAAACATAAATGCATTTTGTTACTTTCCCTTGCATATAAAATTTATCAATAGATAAAAAACTGTGTTTCAATGTATCCATTTACTACTTTGTATGATACTGGCGCTTACCTAATGCAATACCTAATGTAAAGCAACCAATTTCGGGTTGCAAAATATGTAGAGAGTTCACTAGAGTGAACATAATTTAAATTACAAATATCCCGACCGCCACGCAAGCTTAAAATATTATTGTATATTATGGTGATCACCCCATGCAGCTGCAGCGTATCAGGGGGGGAATTTAAAATATATACTGCCCCTATAGAAAATACCTAAATAACATACTAAAATAAAACAATATGCTCACTGGATTATGGAAATAAATATACTCCATTTTCTCGAGGCGCAAAAAAAATTATCATCATAGCAATCTATGAAATCAAATCACAAGAGAAGCAAGAAAAATTACTCATTTCACATCAAACTAATTTTTATATTTAATGTTTACAAATCACCTTTTTTGATTTGAATACATCTTTTTCGCCGGTAACAACATTGTAATGATTTTGATAAGGACATGTCATTTTAGCCTAAAATTAATTTTAAATTAAAATTTCTATCATGACGTGTAAATAACTATCATGATGAGTTGACCAAATACTGTCATTTTTGACATAATTTTAACCAAAGTGATGAAAATAGTAATTTGTATTCTCTTTGAGTTCCAAATTCTCTTTCAAAAGGTTGCATGGGCTAATAAAGTCGAACCACGATAAGTCTACAGTGGACTGACAGTAGCAGAAATTAATACTTTGCACGTGACAGAACTGATTATAGTTAAATTAACTATCACTGATACTTTAAAAATCATATTTAGATTGATTTCGATGATTGTTATTTTAAAATTATTTATATATAAAACAAAAAAATGCAAATAAATTTTCTCAAAAATTATCAACTAGTCTGTTCTGATCCGAATCCAAAACCTAAACCGAAGCCATGGAAACTCCTTTATGTATTTTTAAATTGAAATTGAATGTTTGAGTAAATCCTACTAAAAACTAAAGTTCCAATTTTTCAAGCCTTTTTTGAGTAACTTTAAGTAATTTCAGGAAACTGAGTTATTTTTTTTATCAAAACAACATTCAAGACAATTATGTCACAAAAAAAAAGACTGCAAAATACCTACTACGAAAAAAGATATGAATTTTTGAAACCTCGCTGGCAGAAATCATTAAAAATACAAAAACAAAATATAACTCGAAAACTAAGAAAAATTGAAGTCACTAATTGGACCATCCTGTATATACCAAAGTTTATAAAGGTTGGATATGATATACTTAATCATGCCAAAATGGCTGATCGGATTTGGATGAAATTCTGTATAACTCTTGTTTAATTATTCTGTAGAACCTACATTTACATAATGGTTACAGGATACTTTTTATTCCGTTTTTTAAGTTCCTGTGGGATTATCAAAAACCATATATACTACTTATCTATTATTTAATCATCTTCGTTAAGAATGAAAATTCATATAACCACTCTCACTAATATTTTGAATGCGAAAGTGAGTCTGTTTGTTACGCTTACACGCAAAAACTACTTAACGGATTTGGATGAAATTTGGTACACATATAATATATATAGATATATTGTGTATATGTGTACCAAACTTATACTTTTTATCCCGGAAGAATATTAGGTTCATGTGGGATTGTCAAAAACTAAAGTTAACGCGGACGAAGTCGCGGGCAGCCGCTACTACCACAAGAAAACTCTCACCCCAGGGGGAATCCGGAACATGGTTTCGTCCTCCAAATATTCGTAGTGGTGCATGATACCGGGAGCTTTAAGACCGAGCACGAATATTATCATGCAGGAGACGTAGCGACCAACGAACAGTGCCATCTCTAGGCGATCTTGAAGACTGTAAAACATATAAATTTGAAAACAACTCTATATTTGATTATTATATGCACGCACACATTGCATGAGAAGAAACATGAGCCGTTTTCTTTGAGTGATTTATTTGGATTTTTTTATTGATTGGTCCAACATATAACTCCGCCCACCTGATGTTAAGTGACAGTGGAGTCCAGACACCTAGTCGCATAGACGTCAGTTGTGTAAACCAACGATTTAGAAATGATATAGATTATGGGAGCATTACTCTTTAGCAAAATTCGCTAAAACATGGGTCCAAACTCATACAACTAAACTTCCATACTAACGCTCTAAACACACCGACAAATTAAAATACTTTAACAAATGAATTCATTAGGTAAGATAATGTTAAACGGAAATGCCAACCAATTCCATGATGGGCATGGTGATCGCATTTTTTGGCCCCGCCCGCCCACTTGATCGCAGTTTACGTGGAACCATTTTTGAGCACAGTTTGTATTCGATATTATTTCTTATGCGTTGTTTATACTCATATTATAAAGAGGAAATTTTACCTTTATCTAAGTTTGTCACGAATAAACTCAAAAACTTGAAAGCTATATTATCTGATTCCTGAGTGTCATAAGCTATATTTTATCGCGTTAAAATAAAATTCGCCCGTGCAAAGCCGGGGCTGATCGCTAGCTTAGAATAAATATCTAAGTACTTACTCTTTCAGTCTCCACCACCATCCGTCCTTATTAAGATTGAGGAACGATAAATTCTCCGATACAAAGATCAGCGCCCAAAACACGAGCAGCACGAAGCCATGGCCTCTGGGAGGTAACGAGGGTAGTAGGAACCTCCTCTCGATGACAGCCAGATACGCTGATAGAGGGAACGCTATCAGCGTCACCACTAATGCTAGTAACTGTGAACAAAAGAAGATAATAAAATTTCTTAACATTTAGATCTTCCATTTCAGAAGGGGTTGTACCACAAAATAGATAGTACAGAAGGTAATCTACATACAAACTGCGCTAGAGCAACGCACACATAGACACCGCTCACGGTCACGATATCTCCGACTACTTATAACCAGTGCAGTGCGAGCGCAATCCGCTTGAGACACATGTCTGTGAACTTTTTTGTGCAAAATTTGGAGTAATAAAAAATACGGTTGTTTAAATTCAACATTAAACGGTGAGTTGTCGTTTTTTAATAAGTACCTAATATACCAATTACGTAAAAAGACTTGTTATTACTGGTTTATATTTCCGTTCTTCCTGTTTCATTCTCGACAATAAATCAAACAACTAGATAAGTACGTACGAGTGCCACTACCACAATTGTTGGAGCACAAGCCAAGTTGGCAATCCTAGCGCGACCGCTGAGCGTAGGTATGAAAAGCAGTACATACTTGAGATTACCTTCTGTACTCTCTATTTTGTGGTAGTTCTGTTAGGTTTACGAAGGTTAGTTCAGCTAATTACTAGCGCGGCAGCGAAAAAAACTAAACTAAATTTTAATCACTTGGCTGTCTTGGTCAGTCACCTTTAACGGGCTGACTTTCATAAAGCCAAATTTTTAAATGTTGAATGTTTCAAATTCAACCAACTATCGACCTATGCATCAAATTGGATGCCGCCGGGCTCGCTGCTGGCTAGTTTAACCAGGTGGTTGCAAAAAGATAAAGGAAACCATGAAGAAGGACATAGGCTCCTTTAGTAGAGGACTTAGAATTTGAATATTTTGCCTGCGTATTTTTTCAAATAATGGCGAGTTACTTATTATATAATTATGCCAGCAAAATATTGTCTTCTTCATTAATATTATACTGTGGCTTTGATCTGCGTAACATAAATAGCAATTAAGAAAACATCTCAATCGATCTAGTTGACGACGTATAAATCTACATTATTTGGACAACCTAGATACTCCCGAATCAATAAATGAGCTTAACCGTAACTCTAATTCTTATGAAAATTTAAATATTTTTTTACAATCCATTGAATTATGCTGTTTTATTGAACTCGTGTGTAAGAGTTTTGAGGATATATGATTTGAAATGTAAAATAGCCAGTACAAGATTTGCCTCTTTAAAAGAAACCGGTTGGACGACATGTACATTATGTAGGTAGAAGTACCTATTTATATATATAGACTATTATTTCAACCAACACTCCATTATTCGTATCTTTTCCCAACATCTCAAGAAATTCATGCTTCCTTAGAACTCTACGTCTTTCTAGCATTATAAAGTCCTGGAGGAGGTTTCCCGAATTTGTATGGAGGTTGGTTTTCGGCCATCCCCCACGGCGTACAAATGGAAGAGTATATTTTTAGAATATCATGGATCAAAAATAATAATTTAGAATCCCCGCATTTTTACAAAATACAGCATTTTATTAAGGTACAGAAAAATGTTATACAAAGCTAAAATTAAAATACCGAAACAAGTGCGACTCGCACTTGTCCATTAAATAGCTCCGTATAAATTTGTAGGTGCGCAACATAAACGGCCATAAGTGTCCCTTTTTACGTTAACTTTGAAGTTAGATTTTTTCGCAGCTTCAAGGGACCGGCGTAAACCTATATAGTTTAAATTTCAAGTCGATAGATAGCTCCACGCGTTCCCGAGCTAAGGTGTCTTGACAGACAGACGTACAATAAAGTGACCCTATAGGGGTTCGGTCTTTTTTCTTTTTAAGTACGGAACCCAAAAAAGTAACACGTCAATATCTTACATCATTGGGCCTAATTCTGACATAATTCTCCAAACCTGACACCAGTCTTTCTTTTTCATTCGGTATATAGCATGACAAGGATACACTGTTGTGAAATTCAATTTTAGTTTTATAGAGAATCATGCCAAAATCGGATCCATTTTCATGTCAAAATATTGTATTGTAACTAGGCTTAGGCATCCATCTAGGGTGCGATTTATTTCAGCCTACGTCAAAAAGGTATTTAAAAAGACGCATTTTGAACCCGTTTGAGCGTGTTTCATTAAATGACTATTAATTCTCATAACACTGATAAAGAGATCAATAACGCGCCTTTAAAAGATAGATATTGTTATCAATTAAATGTCTTATTAGTTCAATTACGCACAGCACTATTATTACCGCCTCGATTGTTGGTATCCAATTTCAAGTATACTAATCAACACCATAACGGTATCGTATCCGCTTTTAACCTGCTCAGTCCCCGTAGCATGAGCACCACAATTTACATTATACTACGTTTTTTATCGCGTCTTACTGTCAAACTACATAGTAATTTGACTATTGCGCGTGATAAAAACGCGTTAAATATCATATCGTGGTGCTCATACTTGGGGGGCAGGAGGCTCTTTCCACATAGAAGTTTTTCTATGGTCCATATTCACATATGATATTACTCAATGACGTATAATATATAGACAGGTTATATGCCAACTTTATTGAATTTAAAAAGGCACAAATAGTCCCCGCCCCAATTTTCCTTAACTACAGCCGCCAATAGAGTGCACTAAAATAGTCTCTTTTACTCTCACTCATAAAGCAGATTACATCTCGCTCTTTAGCCTCTAAGTGTCAATGGTGTCAGCGACTCTCAAAATAATAAAATAAATAAAAATAGCCTTTATTGTCTGACCAAAGTTTAAATTACAATTGTAAATCTTATTCCCCGATATCGGCACCCGTAATATCAGGTTGTCTTAACATAAAGGCCTCCTCCAGTTAGGCCCATTCCGTCCTGTCTCTGGCTGTTCTAGGCCAACATTTGGGTAGGTCATCCTCCCATCGCTTTACTTGTCTTCCCCTTCTTCGTTTTCTATCTCGGGGGTACCATTCTGTGATGTCTTTTGTCCATTTAGTCGTGGTGGACCTAAACATGTGTCCAGTCCATTTTTACTTTGGTGTTCTCACTCGACTACTTTCATTCTTTTCCATATTTTGTCAAGTCCCATCCTGTCCCTAAGCTCCACACCTAGTGTACTCCGCTCAATCCTCTCTTGTCAAAATGAGTAATCACTAAATATTTTACATTAATTTCTTTAAAACTGTACTTACGATTGAAATGACACGTTTTTCTTGTCTCTAAAAGTTCCCTGTGTATTTTTTGTATCAACTAAAACACACATAGGGCTTTTTTTGTAGAAAAACGTAAAATATTTACAAGTTGTAGCAAAGTGTAGTCGCGACGAGAGAGCGTGCCCGACAGAATGCAAGTCGGGCATTTACCTGACTTTCATATTGCCAAATTAGAAACGTGTATGACGTATCAAACTTTAAAACATCATAGGTATTACTCGATAGTTTTACTCTAAAGCGATTAAAAATCAATGTGTGGACAGCAAAACTCACAATTATTTCGGCTCGTTCGTATGACGCGACGCTTTATTAGAGTAAAACCATCGAGTAATGCCGATGTAAGTGTAAGTACGAACCATTAGCGAGATTGCAAGTCTAAGATTGTATGTTTTATTTATATCTCTAATCTTAAAATTACAAGATATTTAATTAGACTTGAAAAGAGTAAATACCTATATGACGTTCATAAATCATAGTAATAATTAAAAGTCGGCAGATAATCTTCCTCCAGGTGATGGCTAGCCATTGGATACATAATAAAATTATAACATTAAACGTTCTGCGTTACAAGGTAGATCCTATCGGATGGCATAGCAGTTCACCGTCATTCAACAAACAGATAATATGATGTCATTTATCTATACAGAATGAATGAATTCATTTGTTATCTTTAGTATAGAACATATTGAAATAACTAATCGAATCATATAAATAATAATAATTCATAATTCTGACGACGCAGCCTGAAAATAGATAGATAGAAACGTTATTATTTGATAAGACAGTATTTGTAATTATGGAGACACTATCACGTCAATATCAAAGGATAGTGCAAACAGTAATTTTTCCAATCACACACAAAGACGATGTCATGTCTGTAACGCCAAAAATTTTTAACTCATGCTAAAAAAGTAGTTGCATCATACTTGCCTTCTCTATTTATCTAACAGTGACAGTATCATTTAAGACCAGCCCCTGTAGCATGAGCACTACAATTTACATTATATCATGTTTTTTATCGCTAACTGTCAAACTCCATACTAATTTAGACAGTTGAGCATGATAAAAATGCGTTATATATCATATCGCGATACACATGCTAGGGCAGCCGTGCATATACCAGTTTTGTAATAACTTATTACTAATAAGAAGGTTAAAGTATAACTTACCATATAACCATATATTTGCCCCCCTTTGAATACAAATGCTTGCAACAAGAACCTAATCACCGCTAGGACTGGTACAAACAGTGTGAAAAATATTTGCACACCGAACATAGGCGATGGCCTTACATCGGTTACTTCAACAGCATGTCTGTAACAAAGCATGGAAAGTAAAAGGATAAAATTACAAGTTATTTATCCATCACCATTCACTATTGAGCTTCTGGAAACTAATCTATTGCTGTGCCTTTGTCATCTTTCACAAAGGAATTGTTAACAGCAAAATCATGATAAACATGTAAGTAAATATTGGTAGTGTGGCTGTTCTTAACTGTTATTTTATATCTTAAATAAACTATGTATGGAATCTCCAAATTTCAATAATATAGATAATAATATTGAACCTAGGATTCATAAAATAATCAGTGAGTAAGATTCCATGGCTCCACAGGATAAGGGATTGGGTCAGGATACGCAACGGCGTGGGTGATATTTTTTTTATCGCAAGTATCTAAAGGATATGAGGCCGCTTGCCATCTGGAGGTGGGTCATATGCTTATTTGCCAACCTTTTAACATATACATATATATATACACTTCTGGACACATATATTGGCCCACCTTAGAGTTTAGGTTTCGATGGCCCCTACCGAAATATGATTGCTAGATAGAAAAAAATGGGTGCGTGTACTTATGTAGGCGCGTGAGAAGTTATCCTTCTTTGGCATCGTTTAAAATTAGTTTTTAATTGCATGCAAATAATTAATTACAATAAATTACTAAAAAGTCTGGAAAAGGACACAGTCAATAAAGTTCAGTTTTAATTTGATAAAATAAATAAATAATCAAAATATTCAATTAAAATCGCTACTGAATATAATTTATTAGAACATATGTGATTTGCACTTGTATGAAACTCAAACACGTATTCCGAATATACAAACTAGAAACATGTGGATAAATATTATAAATATGAATACCTATAATAACTGTTACTTTATTACAAAAAATAAAGATGTGGTTGTTGGTTCTACTACACCAATGGTCAAGAGATGGCGCTGTAGTCTCCTGAATCGCGCTTTGGTTCCGTTGTTCCAGATTAATAAATACTTTTGATATTATAAATATGAATACCTATAACTGTTACTTTATTACAAAAAATAAAGATGTGGTTTTTGGTTCTACTACAGCAATGGTCAAGAGATGGCGCTGTAGTCTCCTGAATCGCGCTTTGGTTCCGTTGTTCCAGATTAATAAATACTTTTGATAGGCCTTCACAATGCAGTCGTTAGCACCCACTAAATAGAGATTCTATTTCTATTTTGTTGGTAGATTTTCTTAATGTGCGGTAAACACAAAAGTAACGCATGAAGTTGGTCCACCAACTTCATGCTGTTAAAATTTTGTGTTACAGTGATGCGCGCGCATCTTAAAATTTCACTCATCATTTTTCATAACGCGCCTAAAGAAGTATAACTTCAACAAAAATTGTTGATGCAGTTTTAAACCTGATACATTTTACCATCTTTTTCGATCGTATTGTTTTAAATTTGAATTCAGAATACCATACGACATGGAGCTACGCCTATCAAGTCGGATATACACCTTGTTAAAGGCAATTGATTTTTATAAAAAACATGTTTTATCAAATAAAGGTTTAATTTAATAACGCGTGTTGCCTCCATGGGCAACTACCACAGCTCTCCTACGATTAGGCATAGAGTTTATCAACCGCTCTATGAAATTTTGAGGGATCATCTCCCATTCCTCTTCTATGGCAGTTTTCAACTCCTGCATCGTCTGGGCAACTGGTTGACGAGCCCTAACACGTCTTTTTAGCTTGTCCCACATGTGCTCAATGGGGTTCATGTCTGGGCTTCTGGCTTGCTCAACTGTGATGTTCACATCCCGAAGATATTCCCTGACGATGCCGGCCGCATGGGCTCTTGCATTATCATGCATAAAAAGGAAATTTGGGCCTACATAGTCCGCGTATGGTATCACGTGAGGTTCTAAGCACTCACGAATGTACCTTTCAGCATTTAATGTTGGCAGCCGTGGTCCTGTAACAACCTCAAGTTGAGTTTTGCCGCTCGCGGATATACCGCCCCAGACAGTCCATGAGCCACCGCCATAAGCAACCCTCTCTTCCAAGCAGCATTGTGCGAAACGCTCTCCCTTACGTCGGTAGACCTTCTTCCTTCCATCATTGCCATGTAACACAATTTTAGACTCATCAGAAAAGAGTACACGGCTCCAATCTTGCTGTGTCCAATTTAAATGACTGCGTGCGAAATGAAGGCGCGCTGTTCGGTGGGCTCGCGTTAGTTTGGGCCCATTAGCTGGCTTGTGTGGTACCATATCGCGTTCTTTTAACCTTCTCCGAACAGTTCGAGCGCTCACAGATACTCCGTGGAAGTCGCGAATTTGTTTTTGTATCTCAATGGAGGTAAGGTGACGATTTCTCAAGTTGGTCGTCACGATGAATCGATCCTGCCTTTCAGTTGTGACCCGAGATCGTGGCCTTCCTCGGCGACGAACAAAGCCGCCAGTCTCTAGGTACCTCCGATAAACATTTCGGACCGCAGATCGACTTAAATTAAGTTGAGCACTCACGTTTCTTTGGCTGTGTCCGGCCTGAATAAGTGCCACAGCTTGGGCGGCGACTTCAGGTGAAGTATCCATAGATTATTGATAGAATGTTAAGAATAAGTAATGTTTGTTGCAAAACCAAAGATATCAATCACTTTTTCAAGAATTAAATCCAAGTAAATCAATAAAACCAAGTTTTCTTAGTATTCGATTGTTTGATATCAACAAACAGGCTCCAAATTGTCTTTTGTTTCTTTAAATTCTGTGTTCGAAATTCAAAAAAAGACTATTGAATGAAATTGTGAATGTGCCAGGTTCAAAACTGCATAAAAACTTTTGCTCGATCTAATATAAAATTTTAGCTAGGACCAAACGAAACTGAAAATACAAGGTGGGCCAATAGATGTGTCCAGAAGTGTATATATTCGCTGCTAGGATATTTAGATTAGATTTATTTCTGCCTGACAATTGTGATGTTGCCAATTCATTAGATTAGATAGTAAATGTTGCTGGTTGCTAATAATTAATATTTCTTAATTTAGAGTATTTAAGGATAAACTCAAGTTTAAATAGCATAATTTATCAATCTGGCCACCAAACAAAACAGTAAAATAGGTCCAATATATTAAATTGCTGTGGAAAAAGGAAAGTTTTATTTAGTAATTGACCTATCTAGTTAGGCTCAACAATAAATCATTTACAAAAGCAAAAAGGTTTTGGGGCGAGGGGCGGCTCATGTGTGCCAAAGTGTACGTTGTTGGGCAATTCACGTCTACCGGCAAGTGTCACTCTTACGTCCACGCCGTTCACCACCGTAATACTTGGATCTGTTAACAGGCAACATACACTTACATATGTAAGTGTATGTTGCTGAATTTAGTGATGCTATCCCATTGATGCACTCCAACATCAAGGGAGACACTTCCTATGACCCGTATTCCCCTCTATTCAACTCCAATTAATCGTTAAACCCCTCCTTGATCCTAAACCCTGTCATTCCTCAAGCCCGACCCTAACAAAGGCCTGCGGCTCTACCGGGAAACGAGAGGCGCCCCGGTAGACTATTAGCCTCTCCTGCTCTAGAGCCTGCGCAGTTGAGCACCGTAAGGGGGGATGAAGGAGTCCTGCAGGGTTGTGTGAAGCGAGGTCGGCGGTAGTACCACTCTTTGGTCTGAATTTTAACCGAAACGGCAGCCCCTTTGGGTAGCGCTAGAGGCGAAAAGGTCACGCGTCCCGTCAGAGGACCGCAGCGAGGAGTGGTGGCTTGCCGCTCTGGGTGTTTAAAGTTATGCTGACGAGGCAAGAGTAATGTGAAACAACTGGGGTACTCTGAACCGGTAAGCCAGCCAGACACTTCGAGTCTCAGATGTCGCACCTGACACCTCTGCTCCTATATCCAGTCAGTAGTCCTAGTGCACCATTATAGGCACTCCCAAATGTGCGGGCCCAAAAGAGGGTGGGAAGCTGACTGGATGAAATTTTACACCACGAACAGCACACAGATTCAACGTTCTACCAACACCCGATGGGAAAACAGGTGCTCGCTCACAAGCCGAGAAATCGAAATGCTTGCTTGAGCAAAGCACCACTACACCTCAGATTGAGGACACTCACAAAGTGCTTGAGCAGAACTGGACGGTTGGGGCTAGGAAAGGAGCGAGGATTGTAGAGGAAACAATTTTACAATTACGAAAACTATCATTGTTTTCGTAATTGTAAAACTCGTACCAAGGGTACTGATGCGCCGTCACGTCAAAGACCGGGTTTATCTCGAGATCCACGGCGGAGCAGATTGCGGAGAAGCTCGAGAAAGCCTTTTTATAGGTAGCGATGAGCACAGAACGTCCAGCCTGTATGAGGGAGGGTCTAACGTTTTGCGGGAAACCCCTCTATGCGGGCCTGTCTGCCGTTGCTTCACGTGCGCCATCAATGCAACGTTTGGGTAGTTTCAACAGATGGTACGAGACCCTCCATGACTCGGAGCTAGGTGATCTTGTAGTCCTCCGGGACGACGAGATATCCCAAAAGAGTCAGATGTGGTTTTGTGCTGATCAAGCTCTGGAAGCACGATCAGGCTTTGCTAGGCAAATGCTTACAGATCGGGAATCCGGAGCTGAAACCCGAACGTTGGCTGCTGAATGCATCCAACAGCAGCCTACGATCGGGGCCACATTCGTTGTGGTTTCGATCCCTGAGGACGTTGTGCCTGCGATCCTGGCTAGAAGGTGAGACTCAACTTCATGTTTGGGTCGGTGTACCTGAAGTTCAGGGACGCCAAGTACGTCGACATTCCGCCAACATCATACCCTTCAGCACCACTTGGGGCTCAAACTACGACGACCAACACACCAGCTCCCCCCTCTACACTATCAACATCCAGCGCTGGTCCCACGAACACTGTCGTCCCACGTGCCTCGTCACCGGCTGTCGAAGTTACGTGACCCTTGCAGGTGAGGAATGTCTCTTGGAGCTCGATGGGCTTGAGCTTGAGGACGTTGAATGCCAGTACGATGGCGTCCCTCTGCAGTAGTGCAAACATACTGCCGATGAGTTGGTCCGGAAGGGATCTGATACGACCTCAACAGGACCCGAACCAATCGTCCCGGTACCGGTAAGCTGGTTCTTCAATAAAATCCGCGAGCACACACCCGCACTAAACCAGCAACACTGACTCAATCTGGAGATGTACAGGCAGACCAAGCTTGTTTTGCCATGGGCGAACCCTGGCCTCTCCAAGACTCTGCTAAGCAAACCTACATTGCACATGGTGACAGGTGCTATTACAGGACATGCCCATTTTAACAGACAACTTTTGTGTCTCGGACAGACCCCCTATGCAGAGGATGCATGGAGGCAAAAGAAACAGCTAATCACGTTCTGCTGAAATGCAACGGATTGGTCGAATATCGGACGAAATACCTCGGCTCACCAATGTTAAGGCCCTCGGGGCGTTCCTGACAGAGCTGGGCTGGCTGGAGTGATTCCGGCTACACACCCTCCTTACGGAAAAGAGGCGCAATAAGAATGTCGAGTTGCGGAAACGCCCGTTGCAAGAAGAAAGTTTTTATTATACATACATCAGTACCGCTCTGGTTCCACTCGAAGTTAGTTCTTCTCAAAGTTAACTATGAAGCTAGATGTTTTTTCGTCAGCATAATTTAAAATAATAAAATAGGCTCACCACAATTATAAGTGATTTTTTTATAAATATTCCAACAAAACAATTAAAGTCATCCTCCATTAAGAATTTCGAAGTGTAACACTAACTATTGACAGTATTCATTTTCCGGCTTGGCTGGTGCATCGCTAAACGACTTCATCAATAAATATCAATTGATCAACATATTTAATTTGAATCCTATGGCTATCAGGCAGTTAATGGCTGATGAATATTTTGTGAATACTTGAATTTCATTATCAAATTTTTTCTCAACTTTGTAAAATTAAATTTCCAATCTTAAAATTTCTTCATATTCTAGTGAAAACTTTTACATAGCTTTTAATAAAATATTTTGATTTACTTTTCAATTCTATAGATGTTTGAAGTTAAATGTGCATGAAACAGTGATTTTCCACAATTATTGAATGCAAATCTATCAAGAATTTATTTTATTACCTACATAATATATACCTCAATAGATATATAATAAATCAGTCTGCTCATATATGTTAGAACTCATCAGCTGGCATTACTTACTGTTTTATAAATAGCAGAAAAACCTTTACTTTAAAAATCGAAGCCTGAACCAACTTTATCTTCTGCGCCTTAATTTGTTTTAAAACATAGAAATTACCAGACTATATAAATTGATAAATAAAACTAGTTTAAACGGGATAATGCACGAAACTTTATTTATTTATTGACGTTTCGTAGCCTTTTCGTTTCAATAAATAAATAAAGTTTTGTGCATTATCCCGTTTAAACTAGTTTTATTTAATGAGTGATGTGCGTGAAAACCTAAGAAACAAATATATAAATTGATTCTCACACATACCTTATATGCAGAACAATCTGTATGGTCCCGAAAACAAGAAGGAATCCTCCAATAATCACAGAAGACACAGTTTCCATAAAGCACTGAGATATTCCATGATCAATCCACACTTCTGCCAAAGTCACATTAGGGGGGCAGTAACCCATCATTTCTGGAAAAATAAATATTACATTATTATGATACTTCTCAGATGTTTAACAAAATGAACTTTTGGGGTCATTTAATAAAACAAAGAGTTATTTTACTTCAGATCAAATACTGTCCAGTACACAAAATCAAACGAACTTAGTAATTTACTAATAAAAAAATATTTTGAAGCTCATTTCTGTTAAAATCTTTTAATATAATCATTACTTAAAAGTTAACAAGTTTTTATTCCTTGGAATTGGTTTTTATTGGATATTTTGAGGTATAAAAAACGTCAATTAACTAAACTACAGTCTCACTCCGAATCTACCTAATCAATATTAAGTAACTACGCGTTTTCCTTAATTTTGTAAGATGGATGTTTTACACAGTATAAATTAAACCATTTTAATTACTGTTTGTTACAATTAAAGACATATATGCATAAACCTCATACTTACTGGGAAGTCGGAGTCGTCTTTACGGCACGTGGATAAAACTTTTGTTGGTTTATTTAATAATACCGGCTTGTCAATAACCATTCAAAATCAAAATCATTGAAAATATTTTTTAGTGAAGGTCACAGACTACATATATACTACGGTAAAGGTAAAAAGTCTGTTTTTATTGCGACAAAAATGACATTACCTACCTGTGTTGCTAGTTTATTGCAATCATAAATAGTGATGCACTACTATCGGTAATTACCGCTTATAGCTCCTCTACACGATGAACCATCACAATGTTTCTCTATGATAGGCCAGCGTGTGGCGGGCGTTGTGGTGCTGGTTGGCTTATCGCATGTGTAAGGGTGCGGCCAGAGTGCACTCAGATTCAGAGTCAGATTCAGATTCTGAAAACAAGCGCGAGAAATAAACAGTGTAGTCTAAGCAGGTTGCCTGCTTTTTCTCGCGCTTTGTTTTGTGAGTCTGAATCTGAATCTGAATCAGGAGTGCAATCTGGCCGTACCCTTCGACTACACTGTTTATTTCTCGCGCTTGTTTTCGAAATCTGAATCTGAGTGCACTCTGGCCGCACCCTAAGTGTAATAGTCTTGGGATGGCGTTGGTGTCGGTTTTTCGGCCACACAACAAAGATAATGGGCCAGTGATGGCGATACGCATCTACAGCTTCAGCTCAAACGTGATTGAGTGGGGGTGGACGTTCGTATTTTGTTTATTAATTTATGAATTTACATATTTTGATATATCAAAGCGATTCCATAATCCGATTTCTAACACAAATAGATTTCGAATCGATTTCTCAACAAGAAACTCCGATTTCAGAAATCTAATCGAACCAAAACGCTTACCATCTAGTGCCACAAAACGTAGAACAAAATAGAATAGAATAATCTTTATTTGTATTAATAGGGTTGACAAAAGGTGTTTGCATTATAAAGCATATGTTAAAAGCTAAGAATCTTAAACCTATTTAACCACATTAATAGCATTCAAAAAAATCTAATATATTAAAACATAACAGTCATATTAAATTTACCTATCATTCATTTAATAACAAGTATTTTATCATTATAATTTAAAATCAAATTTATGTCAATTTTAATTACAATTCTCAATGTCAGTTCAAAATAAAAATATTTTATGTCAATTTAGTGTGATATACCTATAGTAACAAAATTTTTCAGTATGATAATTTAAGAGTATTATTCAATTCAATGTCAATATTAATTACGATTCCTAATGTCAATTTAATAGTAATATTATATGCAATCAAAATAAAATTAATCCAAAATTGTCATTCATTTCAATATTCAGGACTTATTTATTAAAAATTTGCCAATTTATTAATCCTATTCTGAACCTGTTGTAGGGTAGTTGCCTAATATTGTCAGGTACTTTATTATATATTTTTATAGCCATTGCATAACCATTTTTATTAAAACGCGAAGTTTTGGGATTGTTACTCGTACTGCGTGTATGTAACCGAATGTAAATTGGATTCGAAACTCGCGCTATCTTTTTTACTCCGCTATTACGAGGAAGCGAATTTCTTCACAATTTCGAGCTTCAGTAAAATTCGCTTTGTCTCTTTCTAACCAATCGTAACAAAACGGAGTAAAAAAATGGCGCGAAGTTCGAAAGCCAATTTCGGTTTGTTGTTTGCGGAAATTTATTGCCATTGTATATATGCTGTCAATATAATCCTACGACTAGTGTCCGTCATGCTAGCGTACACCACACCAAGTTCGAGGTTGTTACATATGCTTTTAAATAGTGCCTAATTAGTATCAAATTACGACTTACCGTTTATTAGGAAGTTATTGTTAACAAATTAACGGAAAACTATCAATTTGTCATTCGTTGTTGCTTCTCCTCGATTCCATCTTCCACGCTTGTGTCAATTTGACTATGTAAAATTGTTCTTCGCGACTAAATTTCAATAGATTTGTTCCTAGAAGTTGACACCAGTTTTTTTATTATTCCGCTGCCAATCTAAATATAGCATTTTATACTACCAGAGGCAGAATTTTAATAATTTAAATATACATGTATCATATGTTAAAAGAGAAGTTCGCTTTCTATATGCACTATTTAGGGTACGCTACTATGACGCCACCTCAAAAGGTTATTTATAAATCTTGTTCTATATCTTTGTCCCCATAAGAGCTACGATTATGATATTTTGCATAGTGTGGGCACTATTACAGTACTATTTTCTGTGAAAATTTGGCTGCATAATAATAAGCCGTTTTCGAGACTGGCATGGTGTACACCAGCTTGGCTGTCACGCTAGCGTACACAGTGAAAACAATTATTATTTCCTTAACGAAAGAGAAAGTTTCTTTTATCATTGCACTAATTAGATACTATTTATGCACTATTTATTAGCATAAGCAACAACCTCGAACTCAATGTGGTGTACGCTGGTATGACGGACACCTACGACACAGCATTTAAAGACTATATTTGTATAAAAAAACCATAAATATGTAAAAAGAAATAATTGGTTATAAGTCGATTTTTAAATGCACCGAAAAAGTTTTACTCGTAACCGTAAACATAAATTTTCTGTTGGTCCTAAGTTTAGTTTAAAGCATGAAGGAAAATCGCCTAAATCTACGAATATCTTTTCTGCCTAGAATTGTTTGTGATTTCGTTAGCTAATAAAACCTATTCTAAACATGAACTAGTGAATTGGCAAAGCTAGGCTACATCTTAAACCGGATATTTAAAGACGGATTTTGAAATCAATTTCGAGATTTGTAATCGGGTAGATATCCGTCTGCGTTCACACCAAAAACAGCTATGTCTACACGGATGTGCTATTATGGTACGTCCATGGTAGAGGATCCCCTGCAGAAGTCCTATCGAAGTTAGCAAAATTTTATAAAATAAGAACACGCTCTGAGTTTGTGTTTGTGTGTTGCGCATGAAGATGTCATTGGATCTTTACTAGTGTGAGTTTCAAATAGTTCCATTGTGTACGTTAATAATTGTTATATCTGTACACGTGCATTGTATGTGTGCGTATCTGCCAGTGACGGGTGATCGGACGGAAAAGCTTTTCGATTATTTGTAAAATGTATTTTTCGTAGTATGCTCATAAACAAAGTCAAATAATATTTGCGGATGGATAGTTCATTATAAAATCATTATTTCTCGGGAGTAGCGATGTAATTACGTATTTAGTTTAATGAACTATCGGAGAATGTAAATGATCAGCATGTGTCACTATTCATCAACAAATTTATAGTGAAGCAGTGGACGGTCGTCATGTGAGGAAGGTTATGATTATCAGTTGGAAATCAACCTGATTTAGTTGGTGTTTGTGTTGTGGACTAGTGTTATTTATTATTTGGCTGGTGGGAGTGATAAATTCGGGCTCAAAATGGCGGACCTCGAGGCTGTGCTGGCAGATGTCAGCTATTTGATGGCTATGGAAAAATCAAAATGCACTCCAGCAGCGAGAGCTAGCAAAAAAATTGTCTTACCAGATCCAAGGTAATACGCTGTATATGCTTTGTTGCCATAACAGAAGTTTAATGACCCATACTTTAATTTTTAGAGCGATTGTTTACAAAAGTCATGCTGACCAGATGAATTGGAAAATAATATTTATTATGAGTTTACCCAAGATTAACCAAATAGTTTTTGTAATTGTCAAAAAGTGCAAGTAAAACCCAATTATAAGGAATAAGCAGAACCAAAAATAAGTCATTAGAAGTATTGGAACTCTCCCATTTCCATAAAATAAAATTAACATGTCATTTATTTTTAGGACTTAGATAATCGCCGCGTTAGGGAATCCCAACTACTAAGTTTGAATTCTTATATTTAGGAACCTATTGTAAACATAAATGCTCCAAATTTTATTTTTGTTATGTAGGTCATTCACATTTGTTGGGTCAATGATCTCTAGGCCTTGTTGATTGCTACCTTTTTTTAATGCCTAGTCTTTTACTTTTCAATAATTTCCTAATAAAGGAAGCAATTATAAATAAAAATGGCAATAAGTATTTTATTTAAAATTTCATAATTAATATTTTTTGTTATAGTTAGTTCAAAATTATACTTTTTTTTATAATAATAAGAGTATGTAGGCATGTTGTTAAATACATTATATCATATTTTAAGGGTTCTGAACCTGAAAGGTCATAACAGAAATCTGTCTGCCTGTCAACCAGCTGAATCTCATCATTGAAACTTTCACTTTAACAACTAGAACATTGAAGCTTTCATAGAATATGTAATCCTAATGCTGCTAAGGGGGGGGGGGGGGGGGTACAGTAAATATTATTAAATTGTAAATTGTTGTTATATGGCGTCATATATAATTTTTAATGTTACAGACTCGAATAAAATTAATACTAAGCATTGTTAAAACACAACATTTCAAGTATGAGTGGAGACTCTCACAGTTAGAGTTCCATATTGTGCAAAATTAAAAACTACCTTGAACATTCTTTTTTAATGAAATTTTCATTATAATATAAATAAATATATATTTCTGACCCCTCCCTAATTAAGCACTTTAAGGATGCTAGGGTAACAGATAGAAATACATATCCAATTACTTACATATCGTCACATCTACGGCAAACTTACGCATCTGCTTTTTTAATAAAAATCTATAGTAAAAAACTGCACATAATGGGGTACTTAACACCAGGGAAAAGTCACACAATTTTGTCAATGACAGTTACAAAAGTCTGATTGTTTGAGTCTGCATTTTATGTTTATAAACCCAAAGTAAACTTTAATTTGGTAAGTTTACTTTGGGTTTATAAACATAAAACGTGTACTATGTACGATATTTTGGAGTAGTAGGTTTTATGAAATTCAAATTCGTAAGTTTACTATGGAAGTGACGATATGGAAGTTAATTATATAATAATATTGTGTTATAGGGACAGCCAACAAAAGAAATACTATTTGTTAAATTGTTTGTTTTTAAGACTATTTATTATAGATTCTGTTAGATCAGTGTTTCTTAACCTTTAACTGATAAGGGACCATTTGCCAAATTTTCTGTCTTGCCACAGAGTATCCCCCTTATGTTTTGCTAT